TGGGGAGATGCCTCCCCGCGCTCCTTGGTCCGGGCCAGCAGGGTGCCGTTTCTGGCCGTTTGAGGGCCGAGGCGGACTGTTCGGTGCTTCGCACCCCGCATCGATTGGGGCGTCGGCCGACAGCGAGGGGCCCGCCGCGACCGCGCCAATGCCGAGGGGCAGCATCACGAACCAGTAGGCAACCACCTCCGCGCCTGTCCACGTTGGGTGCCCCCGAGCTTGTCTTATGTCGGGCGTGCCCCCCTACAGGGGGATTTTCGACGAAAAATCAAAACTACCTCCAAAATGCCCCAAAAAGGTCAGACCATACTCAAAAAATAGTCCCCGGACTATTTCTGTTTGAATATTTTTGGGCAATTTTGGGGGTATCTTTTATTCTTCGTCGAGCATCCCCCCGCATGGGGGACAGGCCCGACTTAACACTTGCCCAGCGTCGGGCCCCGCAGGTGGGGGCAGCCCCAAAAGCACGGCCCAGTGCCTCGACCCGCCGCCGCGGGCACGCCCGCCGCCGCGGGCACGTCCCCTGGGGCTCGGCACCGCCGCCTCGAGCTCATGGCGAGAGGGTCGCCGCCGCGTGCCCGCCTGGCCGCCGCCGCTCCCCCCCTCCGGGCAGGGGCAGCCGACTCCTCTGCCGAGGGCTGGCACTGCGGCCGCTGGACCCGCCTGGCCGCCGCCACTCCCCCTCCAGGCCGGGGCAGCCCACTCCTCTGCTGAGGACTGACACTGCGGCCGCTGGACTCGCCATGACATCCCGGACAGAGCGCACCCCAGGAGAGGGCCGTGGAGCTAGCGGTATTGTTACCTTCCGGTTTCCCCACCTCACGGGCAGGGCCTGATCGAGGCGGCCTCGGGCTCCTGCGCGGCGGTGGCCGGATATCTGCGCGGACGCGGCCGTGGCGGCAGACGCGGACGCGCTTCTCGACGATGCCTGGGCCGATGCAGCCAAGCCGCTGCAAGAAGGATGAAGGGGCCCTGGGACACAAATAAATGCACACAAATAAAAGGATTCCCTATATTTTCACTTATTTTCTGGGTTTTTGTCTTCCCCCCCACTTCCCATATTTTCCTATATCTTCCTGGGAGTGGACGATTAATTGTGTCTGTGCGTTTCTTTCCCATCCGAAAAGATTGCCTTAGGCTCACGAGGGGCTCTGGTCTTCGCGCCGCTCCTTGGACTGCTGGCGTGGAGCCTGCTCGCGGCCCAGGCCCGCCGTGGCAAGAACCGCCCCCTGGTTCCTCACGGAGCGTGCCGCATGGTGGCACCATATGACTGTAGCCTAAGGAGTCCTAAGGATTGCTGGAGCTTCGTCAGGACGCATACGGATTCCTATATGATGGACTCTTAGGGATCCCATATGGTTTCGTAGGGAGTCCGGAGCACTCCTAGAAAGATTCCCAACCTTCCTCTGGGGCCGCGAGGCCTGCGCCGCACCGCAGACGGGGCGGACCCGCGCCCGCCACCACGGCGGCCGGCACGGGGGCAAGAGCAGATCCCGAGGGAACCGGGCCCGGGGCCCCGGGGCCTTCCCCCGGGGAAGGCGCCGGGTCGTGCCAGTCCGGGTGCCCGCCGAGGGCCCCGGGAGCCCCGAGGACGGCAGAAAACCTCATCGAGGCCTCCTGGATGGGGGGAGGAGGAGGAGGAGGAGGAGGAGGAGGAGGAGGAGGAGGAGGAGGAGGAGGAGGAGGAGGAGGAGGAGAAGGTGGGAGGAGGAGGAGGAGGAGGAGGAGGAGGACGAGGAGGAGGAGGAGGAGGAGGAGGAGTGGTGGGAGGATCGCGCCGCATCGCCAATGCATCGGCGACGCACCGTCGATGCATCGCCGACGTCGGCGACATATCGGCGGCGTCGGCGCGGAGAAAATCGGGCGCCGCATCGAGCCGCATCGTCGATGCATCGGCGATGCGACGCGATCCCTTGGCCTCCGACTTCCACCCTAGGAAGTCTAGACCTCGGAGCTCGGGGATCTGCTGGCCCGGGTCAATCCAGACTCGGGCCAGTCAGGCCTTGCAAGATCCTGCAACCTCCCGCGGGATCCTGCGCCCAAGCCCGGGTCAATGCGACCTGACCCTGCAGGATCCTGCAAGCTTCAGCGCTCTGGCTGACCCCCGTTTGAATTGACCCCGGCTCTTGATCGGGCGTTGGCAAGACTGGGTTCAGTGGGACCTGGCTTAGTCCCACCCCGTTCCACTCACTGGAACGCCCGCGCCTCCTGAGAAGCAGGGGTGCTTCTACTAGGGCTCCCAACTTCGCGCTTCGCGCTGCGCGAAGCGCGAATAACTTCGCGCTCTCGCGCCGCCCTCCCAAAGGGAGAATAGGAGGACGAGGAGGAGGGGGAGAAGGAACGAGGACCGCGAAGCGCGAAGCGCGAATAACTTCGCGCCCTCGAGGGAGCCCTTGTTCTACGAAGCCCTCCCACCTCCCCCCCCCCACCCCCCTCTGCGCGTGGCTGAGCTGCCCCCACGGCGAGCCACGGCGGGCTGCGCCGCGAGAGGGGCAGCCCGCTCGGCCGCCCCTGGCGCGCAGCAGACCCCTGGCCGCGAGCGGCCGGCGCGCCCCCTGGCGGGAGCGCCCTGCTGCGAGGCCGATGGCGATGTAGACCGCTGGGATCAGGCATTGAAAATGCTCAAAAATTCTACAAAAAACGCACGCATGCTATTGTTTGGGCTATTTTTGAATATTCCTCCTGTAGAGGGGCACGCCCGATTTAACGCTAGGAGGGCACCATGCGCCGCCTCCAACCCTGCGCGGCGTCCGTCGGGCACGTGGCATCCGCCAGTGGCGACGAGGGGGGCGAATAGCGCAGGGGCGGGCATGAATTACACATCGTCGCCTGGAAGCCTCGCCGAAGGCATGGACCAGTGGCGCCGCTGGATAATTACGGCAGGCTCGTGTCGAGTCGACCCTGGCGCTGGTTCCAGATGCCGCAAGGACCGTTCAGCCTTGAACGATCCGCCGTTTCTGAAACGTCCGATCGTGCAAGATCGATCGATTCTGGGTCGCCAGGCCAGAGGCGTTCAACGTTGAACGCGGGCGGCGGGGTCGCCGCCAGTCGACACGACGCGAACCTGCCGCACATGTAGCGCTCCCGCTCGGCCTATTCGCGCTCCCGCTCGGCCTATTCGCCCCGATCGCCGCCCCCGAGTCATGACGGCGGTGGCAGGCCAGCAGCGCACGACACTGAGCCACGGCAGAGGAGGACGCAGAGAACGAGGCGGAGGAGCAGGGGGCGGCGGAGGTGGAGGGGGGGGAGGAGGACAAGTGTAAACCCAAGAGGCATCAACGATGTTGAGAAAAACCTCCCTCCAAGCAGCCTCTTCATAAGCCCCTACAACGGCTCACTCTTACTGAGGGAACTGCCTCGTTGAAAGTTAACTCTTCGAAGGCCATAAAACATGCCAAAACATTGTTCTCGGGATTCCAACGTCACGGATCAACCTGACTATTGCGTCTTGGCGATCCCGAATCGTGCCAGAACGCCATTCCTGGGACTTGAACACCGCGAATCAAGGTAAGTTCTGCACCCTCATAAACCGGAATCCTTTCAAAACTCCATTTTTGGTACGCTGATCATGGGAATCCGCGGAAATTTGGCAAATATTTAAAACGAATATGCGCGGCACCAAAGCGAGATCCACAGGTTGAAAAGGAGCCGCCCCCATTCCGTGAAACTCTTGCAACTCTTTGAGACGAATGCGCGCGGCGCTAAGGCGAGAACCACGTTTTGAAGACCACTCGCCCTCAACCAATGAAGTTCTTGCAAATGTTTGTGACGAATGTGTGCGGCGCTAAGGCGAGACGCACATGTTGAAAACCACTCGTCCTCAATCCGTGAAACTCTAGCAAACTTCTTAAACGAATGCGCGCGGCGCTAAAGCGAGAACCACAATTTGCAAAAGGAGCCGCCCCCGTTCCGTGAAACTCTTGCAGCCGTTGAGACGAATGCGCGCGGCGCTAAGGCGAGAACCACACTTCGAAAACCACTCGCCCTCAATCAGTGAAACTCTTGCAACACTTTAAGAGGAATGCAAGCGGCGCCAAGGCGAGAGCCAACTTTTGAAACCGACCCGCCCTCCATCTGTGAAAATGTTGGTAATGTTTTAGCTTCCGAGTCAGAAGTGCTGAGGAAGTCTCAGGCGAAACACCTGGCCCGCCCTAAAGACTGGCCTCGGGGTGCGACAGGGTAAAGTTATTTATAGGGAGAAGGAATGGGGGAGGAGGAGGAATGGAGAAGGAGGAGGAAGAGGAGGAGGAGGAGGACGAGGAAAAGGACGAACAGGAGGCGGCGCAGGATCAGGGGGAAGGGGCCCCATGCCCTCTTCCCTGTGGTCCCCCCCGTCTCGCGCGTTGGGGGAACATTTCGGGGGGACCACAAAGTGCCGATACCGCTACTCTTCTAGGCCTCTCCCCGGGGTGCGCTCTGACCGGGAGTTCGAGGCGAATCCAGCGCTGGCGACGAAGGCCTCCCAGGAGGCCCACGAGGGGGGAAAACGGGCGACGGGTAGCGGTATGGGTACCTGCTTTGAGCAGGGACCGATGGTCCTGGCAATCCCATATGCCTACCACGAAATGTTTCTACAACCCAAAAAGGCATTAATAACAGAAGCAATAATTATTCTTATACCGTAAACCCGACGTGGTAAAACCAGAACTGTTCTGAGAAAGTGTCGTGCGAAACACAAAAAGGTTCTTAGAACATTCTCTGGTGGACCTATAGGCGAGCAAGGACGCTTCGCCACTGCTTGACTGCTCTGGATTAGAATTCGGAGAAAAACGCTAAAAACATAAACTTTTGGCGCTCCGCACAGAATTCTTGGATACGCGCTGGGCCCCCCTCCCTGGCGGGCGAAGCGCGCCAGGGGCGCCGCCGGAGGCGCCGCCGGGGGGGCCCAGAGCGGATCCAACAAATCCGCGAGGAGCGCAACATTTATGTTTATGGCGTGATTGCTCTTCGAGGCATGGGGCCCCTCCTCCGATCAATGGGCGCACGGCCGGGGGGCTCGCCTCCAAGAAGCCGGCAAGGGCGGCCGCGTCCTCCTCGGCGAGGAGGCCGGCCTCGCACGGGCGTCGCGACGGGCCCCGCCGCGGCGCACACGTCTCGGGTCCAGGCTCGCGTCGCGTCGCGCACGTGTTGGGTCGATCTTGCCACGCCCGAAGGGCCGGGCGCACCTCCTCCTCGTCCTCGTCCTCGTCGTCCTCGTCGTCCTCGTCGTCCTCCTCCTCCTCCGTCTCCTGTTCCGCCTCCTCCTCCTCCTCCTCCTCGTCCTCCTCAGCCCTTCAAGCAGTATTGCTGCCAACAGGTAACTATCCGTAGATTGCTACTCGCATGCTCGACCCCCTGCTCTCTACCTTGAATTATCGCTGCTGACCGCTCCAACACATGTTTGACGTCTTTCGATACTTGTTCATTGGCGATTGTCACGTTCTACGTTCCGCAACTGGAGCATCACGAAGTGCTATTCAATATCCTTGCGACAGACAGGACGTGACGCAGATATCTTCAAGGAGTTCCAGCGATCTGACTTTATGGTATTGCCAGCGACCCACATCCCGACAGTCGACGCCGACGTCTGCAGCTCCGCAGCCCAGCCCAGCTTGTGTGGTATGGCGCCCAGCACTAGCTGCGCCGCCGCGCCGCGCGCTGCGGCGCCCTCGAAGCTGCGGAGGTTGCCGGCCGCCAGGCGGGGAGCGCGTGCCCCGCCAGGGGCGCGCAGAGGCGCTGGCCGGGCCGCGCCTGCACTGCCTGCTTTTGCTGCTGCCTCGCATCGTGACTGTCGACAATCTCAATGCCAAGCCTGCTCCAATACGACCTGCGCTCGTTCAAGAAGGTCGTCGTGACTTCGCTCGTGCATGCTTTCGATTGGCAGCCACGTGTCGAGGCGTGCCGCCATGGCGCGCCCCTGCCGAGTTGTGGGGCGTGGCATTGTGGCCCCTACAAGCGAGGATGTTGCGCCGGCGGTGCGTTGGGGCTATTCTTCTTCGTCGCATGTTCGAGACTCCACTTCGTCGCATGCTGGACATGGCGGATTTCTGGACTCCTCTCCGTCGCATGTTCGAGAAGATACGGAGCGCGAATGCTGCTCCATTGCGCTGGCGCCGCAACAAAGCCAGCGAGCTCGACGAGCGCAGCGGGCAAGAAGGATGTGAATCTACACGCTTGGTGCATTCACTTTGCCTCTTGGGCAAGACTTCGTATCGCAGCTTATGGGCTCGCGATGCCCCGCGGAACGCGCGGCCGCGTGCACTTGGCGATTCCAATGTGTATTCCTGCCATGGCGATTCCAATGTGTATTTCTGCCCGGCTTTGCCATGCTGGGCAAAGCCCTTCGGCTCATTGCATGGGCTTTCGCAGTGCATTCCCCAGCCAAAATCATTCCCCCCTGGAACTCGCTTTCTGAGGTTGCCAACAACATGGACAGGAAACTCCCGCGAAAAAATCATCGCCGCGCCTGCGTGCGCGTCGATGCCCGCGACGGCGTAGTGGGCATCTGCCCTGGCTCTGGCGCTTTACCTGGCGATGCGATTGCGGCGGACAAGCTCATCGGATTGTACCACCCTGCTATTTACAGCTGGATTGCCCACGCGCATCTACGTCTTCACGGTGATGCTCTCGTGGTCTGGGAACCTCTGTCATCTGTGCGTCGATCTCGCCACTGCCGCGCATGGCGACGACCTCGCGCAGCAAATTGCGTTCGACACCATTCCGACGTTGGCGGACGAGACAGATAGACGAAACGACGCCCTCGACCTGGCCCTGCAGAAAAACGGCGTCGAGCAGGATCGAGGCAAAGAAGAGCGCGTGGTTCTCTGGAGTGGCCGCCGTGCTCGAAGTGGTCTTCATGGCTGTTAGGACGGAACGGCACTGCCATACCTGGCAACATTGTTCCTCGCGCCAAATATCTCGGAGGTAAGTCGCAGTGCGCCGGCGGCCCACCCCGAACGCCTTCGACGATTGCAAAGTGCTCGTGAAGCCTGGAAAACATTCCAGGGATACTGGTCGTCGCCCGTGTCGTTGCGCTCGAGTCGTGCAGTTTGTCGCGGCCAAGTCGTGGAAACGCTCTGGTCTGGCATGGACGCCCATGTGCCATTTAGTCCTGATTTTAAAGCTTTCGATCGACCCCCATTCAAAACTTGGCCCGCAAACATATGCGAGGTAGACCATGCACAGCGGTGGAACAAGCTGATGGTACCCTCAAGCACCAGGCTCTGCCAAATCCAAAAATCTGGCGATCACTTGGATTCGCTGATGCGGAGACTGAATTGCGAATGCGACGTCTTGAATTTTGGACGCGGGTGGTATCGCAACCCTCGGATCTTGTCCCCTATACCGCTGCATTGTTTTAGCATTGGGTTGTGAGTCGAGGAGCCCTCTGGGAGACGAAGGGCGACCTCGTGCAAATGCCCATCCTTGGCTCTAGCAACTTATGGTCCATGTGTGAATCACCGCGACAATGATAATACGACGATCGTTGCTGAAGACTGTGATCGGCAACCATTACTATTGTTTCAAGAGCATCTGCGTGGGAATGTTCTGCAATGCGACTTTCTTGTGCTGCGGTCCGTTTTCCTGTCTGTGACGATCCCGCCATCGATGTGGGCGTCACCTGCGGCTGGGCCGGCTCCTTCTGCTGAAGAGCTCCACGCGTGCGACGTTGTGTTACCTTCGGGCGAGGCGTGTGGAGCTACTTTCTCTAGTCGTGCTGGTTTGCAATTACATCAACGCCACGTGCACGACTAGCACAAATCGGTCAATCAACTCATCATCACCAATCATTGCCCGTACTGCCGCATGTCGTTCAGCAACGTGCGCGTTGCTCGCCGACATGCTACTCGGGCAGAGCGGGCATCCAGTTGCAGTCGGCATCACAATGTTTCGAAAATGGATGCCGCCGTGCCCGTCGACCTCTCGCGTCCTTGCTGTGAGTTCGAAGCTCAGTCATCGGACGATTTCCGTGATTACTGGACCACTCATCTTTCTGGGCCTCTTACTGACGCCCCTTCGTCGATACGACACCGACCCCGCCGACGCCGCCGTTACGACGTCGACGCTGCCCTTATGACGAAGTGGCATTTTTTCTTGAGTCGCGATCGTGGCATCGCCCCTGCAGGTGCGATGAGGGTCAAACTCGTGCCGCACGGCCAGCGAGAGCGGCCAAGGATGGGCCAGGGGAGAAGGATGCCAGGGTATCCTTCCTCTGCGGTCGACTCTAGACTCTAGACCAACCACGCCTAGGAGGGTGACGAAGCGGGCGCTGCACCCTGACCGAGGCCAGGAGGGTCTATACACCGTCCCAGTGCACGGGATGGACATGGCCAAGCATGGTGGTGAGTGCCGTCTGCGGGTGCTTAACAACGTTCGGGCATGAAAGCGCGTGTTCTTATATGAAGAAACTGACAAGCGTCACCTGCGCACTTTCCCCCGTCATCGGCCTGCGTTGGCATGGTATGGCTTTGCTCACCGCCACTTGCGTTGGTCAGCGCTCGTCAATACTGCGAAACGCTGATTGCCCGCAGATGCAGCTACGTATCGCGCTCTCTGCCGTCCACTGCCACCTGCCGACACTGTGCCCCCTGCCCCAGCTCCCTCCTCCCTCCTCTCCCCTCGCCCCTTCCGCTCGCCTGCGAGCATCTCGCCCACGAACTCTGTACTTTGAAACCGGTGCCCTCTCGCCTCTCGGAGCCGACCGTCCAGGGCGCTTCGAGGCGGGTCCAGCGACGGCGAGGGAGCCCCACCAGCGGCCCAGACATCCCACCCCCGCCCGAGGTCGGGCGCGCTGCGCCTGCGCCAGCGCGGCGTACAGCTCCGTGCACTGCGCCCAGTGCTGCAGCCCGGCCTCCGCGCTGCCCGAGGCTGCCCGCGGCGGCGCCTCCCAGCGCGGGAGGCGCCCGAGGCCGAGCCCCGGCGCCTCGGCGCGCGCGGAGAGGCCCCCCGCCGCCGCCGATCTTGGCCGCGCGCCCGGTGCCGAGCGAGCTCTCGCCGGCGAGGGCAGGCGCGCGGCGGATGTGTCGTCGGCCTCGCACAGGTGGAGCACGGCGTCCACCGCGGCGAGCTGCACGTCCCGCAGGGGGTCCAGCAGGCCCTCCACCCTCAGCCTCGGAGCAGGGAAGAGCAAGACCACCACCACCACCACCACCAGGGGCCACCAGCGGGAGGAGCCAGGGGGCGGGTGTCCCCCTGGTGGCTGTGGCCCCACCCCATATCCCCAGCTCGGGGAGGCATCGTGGACGTCCTCGCTGGAGGCGCCCCCCTGATGGTGGTGGTGGCGTCGCTTCTCCCTTTTTAGCAGGGACCGACCGTCCCGGCATTCCTATACACATACACCGAAATATTCTTAGAACCCATGAATGTTCCAATCACAAAAGCACTGTTCTCAGAACGTAAGCACCATGTGTTAACTCAAGACAGGATCAGCCTGAAATGTTATAAGAACATGTCGCGCAGACCACCAACAAGTACTTAGAGCAAACACATGATTTGGTAGGCCCATAGGCGAGCTGAGACGCCTCGCCACTGCTTGATCCCTCCCCCGACTCAGCCCGGCCAAGAAAGGCACCGCCGCCAGCCCCAGGGCGACGGAGCCGAGCCCGTGCCGCAGGAGCCGGCAGCTGCGCCTCGTGACCACGGCCGCAAGCGTCCGCAGCGCCATCGGGGACCGGCGGGCGCCCCCGACGCCCAGCGAGAGAGCCGCCTCCAGGACGGGCAACAGCATGCGTAAGAACCGGAGAGAGGTAAGACTCGAGTACGGGGGATTCGGGTTGGACGGGGCCATCATAAAAATGACTAGACCCAGTCTGAAATTTGACGCGAGCTCCCGCTGCAAACATCCCACTAAAACTGGACCGTGAAGTCCAAGACGCGCTCGTCAAAAAACGTCGGTTAAGCCGAGTTCTGGTTTATTCGAGTCTTGCGTCTTCCCAAAAGAACACGCTCGGAGGTCCGCGCTGGTGTCTTGGTTTGGGGCCAGACTCCCCCTCGCCTGAAGCGCAGTGCCCGCCAGGGGCAGCGAAAGGGGCGACGCCAAGGGGGGTCCAAGAGCACCGAGCGAAACCCCGACGTCTTACGCCTGCGCAGTTGTTTGCGCATTTCTGGTACTTGGAAGAGTGAGCCCCGAGACATGGGGCCCCAAGAGGGGAGGCCCTGAGCAGGGCAAGTTCAACCTGGACGCCCTCCCCGATCACAATGAGGGACAATCTTCGAACCTCTGGTCGATCTTCAACAGAGGAACCAAAGCTGCACAAACACATTTGCATCAGAGGTCCTCGCGGGTGTCTCGAAGAGGCGCTGGCCCCCCCGCCCTGGACCCCCCGCCCTGGTGCGCGGAGCACGCCTGGGGTGGCGCCGGAGGCGCCGCCAGGGCGGCCCACACGCTGATCTAAGCAATCCGCGCGGACCTCCGAGACATTGTGTCTGCGCCGTCCAAGACATCCGGCGCCTTGATTTTCTCGAAACACGGGTCCCCGACCCCCCGACTACGTCCCCGGGACCGCTTTTGCATCCCGCGTCGCTTTTCGATGGTCCCGAGGCCCAGTGGGGCCCCGAGAGGCCAACACCTGCGAAACACCTCCGCCTCGCTTCTTTTATCCCAGGACGCCCGATGTCCGGGCGGCTGTCCGCTCCTCGATCTCCCAGCCTCGTGGAGGCCCTCCAGGGTGTCGCAGTCCCACAGGCTCTCCTCCGCAGCGGCGCCCTCGGGGCGGGCCTCGCTCGCCTCGCCGCCGCCGCCGCCGCTGCTGCGGCCGCTGCTCCTCGAGGGCGTGGCGAGCGCCGCCTCGGGCAGGCTGGGCAGCTCCTTGACGGGCCGATTCTCCACCACCGCTGCCACAGGTAGGAGAGGGAGGAGGAGGAGGAGGAGGAGGAGGAGGAGGAGGAGGAGTAGGAGGAGGTAGAGGAGGAGGAGGAGGAGGAGGAGGAGGAGGAGGAGGAGGAGGAGGAGGAGGAGGAGGAGGAGGAGGGCCTCCCCATCCTCCCATCTCCCCCGTCCTACGTACATCTGGTGACGGTGGTGGAGACGTGGCCCGTCACTCCTGGCGGCAGTAGGGGCACTCCAGCCGGCGCAGCCGCGGCACGCACCGCGAGCAGAGGGGGTGGCCTGCTGGGGAGGGGGAGGGGCGAGCCCTCCTCGCGCGCCCTTCTCTGTGGGGAGAGGAGGGGCGGGCACGGAAGAGGGGGCGGTTGGAGTGCCAGGCGGGCTCGGAGGCTGGAAGAGGGATAGAAAACAAGAGAGAGAGAGAGAGGGCGAAAGAGGGAGAGAGAGAGAGAGAGAGAGAGAGTCAGAGAGAGCACCACAGTTCGGGGGGCAGTTCGACCAAGGTGAAAAGGGGCTTGACTGCCACTCTGGCCTACCCTGCACTGGCGGGAAGTGCCGCAAATCGAGCCGTGGTGGGGAAAAAAGCCCTCCCCACTGAAAATCCGCCGATCCTGTCGGCGTGTGGGGAAAACGCCCCCCCCTTTCCTGGGCCCTCCTCAAGCACGCCAGCCAAAACGAAATTGAGCATCGCCGTGATTGAGTCGAAGGGAAGCCCTTTCCCTGTGATCCCTTCCCCGCCAGGGGGGTGTCCCAGGTCAGAATACCACCCCACCCTGGGGGGGGAGGGGGGGGGCGCGGCCGAAATATGCCCCAAGACGAGCCAAGAATGCCCCAATAGGCCTCCAAGACGGTCCAAGAGGACCCCGAATCGCCGAACGATCGGTCCAAGACGTCTTTACGGCCTCCAGACGGCCCAAGAGGGCTGAAGACACCCCAAGAGGCCTCGAGGAGCACTCCCAAGAAAGCCCAAAGAGGCAACACTCCCTAATTTCCCATGAAAAATCTCAGATTTGGGTGTTCTCGCCTTTTCAACTTCCCGACGCTCCAAGACGGCCCAAGAGGCTCCAACGAACGCTCCAAGAGGCCTCTCAGAGGGCCCCCCGAAACTAGCCAAAGAGGGCCCGAAGACGGTCCAACACGGCTCAATAGGCCCGCAAGAGGGCTCCAAGAGGGTGCCCACACAGGGGAACCAAAAGGACATTTCGAGCCCTCCGCCCCGAGAGGTTCCCAGGAGGCCCCAAAAGGCCTCCAAGAGGCCCCCAAGAGGCTCCAAAAGGCCCCCAAGAGGGCCCCAAGAAACCCCAAGAGGCTCCCACGAGACCTCCAAAGGAGCCCCCAAACTGCCCCCCAGAGGCCTCCGAGAGCGCTCCGAAGAGACCCCAAACAGAATCCCTGAGGACTCTGGCCCACGTCAGCGTCGTCGTCGTCGTTGTCGTCGTCGCAATCGTCGTCATCATCGTCGTCATCGCCGTCGTCGTCGTCGTCGTCCCCCTCCAGGGTCGGCGGCACCAGCCGTATGGCCTGCGCAACAAAAAAACAAGTTTGTGGTGATCACTGCATGGCGCGCCCCGTCTGCACACCCAAACCAAAAACGTCGGCTGCAAGCGCGCTTTGACCTGCGCGAGTCGGCACCTCAGAGAAACGTGGCGCCGCCTTGGGGCACCCCCCGCAGCGGCCTAGTGCAAAGGCCGCGGGACAGTTGCAAGTTGTTCTCACAGCGCACCCGATAGATGAAAGACAAGTGCTGGCGTGCTGAGACTAGCGGAGAGCTTCGAGGCGCGCCTGATTACGTCCCTGGGGAGAGGCCCCGAGAGAAGCGGTCGGACGGAATGCCTGCCGCAGGGCGTTGCAGGCGGACCGAGCTCGTTGGAACCTATCCAGCAGGGGACTAGTCTGCTCCTGGGTGGCACGATGGGCCTGCGCCGTGACCGCCGACACGCTATGCCTGGCGCCGAGCCTCCACTCGCGGCGCAAAGCGCGCGCGGGCGTCGTGCTCCCCCGCTCCACCGCGGCAGGAAGCGCACGCGGGCGGCACGCTCGCCCCCGCCCCCCCCCCCCCCGGCGGGCGCGCGGGTTCCACCTCAAATCAACTTCGAATCGCCCGCCCCCAACCCGAGTATACGCGTCGGTGCTCCGAGGGCGCAGAACGCCCCAATGGAACGCCTGCGCGATGTCGGCGAGACCCCAGCGTGACCCGCCAGCACTGCCCCCCCCCCCCCCCCCGGAGAGAGCGACCACTGCCAGGAACCCGGCGCCGCCTCCACCTCCCCGATCGCCTCGCAAGGGGGGCCAAGATATGGCGGGCAGGACTGCGCGCGGAAAGCACCTGGACCTGGCGAAGCAATCCGCGCTCGACCGTCACAAGGACGGCCGCCTCCGCGCGCACTGTCCTGCGCGGTGCCCCTGTTCTGCGAGGCGCAAGTGCGACAGGCCCGAGGCAGGGCCCCTCGCGGCTTCTGCGCATCAACATAATGATCGGCGAATTCCACGCCCGCGACCAGCTCGACGTCCCCGCGGTAACTCCACTTGGGCCCAAGGCGTGGCGGGCGGGGGACAACACTAATCGCAACCGCTCTCGCCATCGCGCTCCGCTCGCACGATCCATGCGCACTTCTGTCGCGCGCTGTCCTGGCGAGCGCGCTCGGGCGCCCCTTCACCCACGATTGCGAATCCCTGCGTCCCCCCCTGCATAGAGTCAACGCAGATTGCCGACGGTCAATTCCCCGCGTCGCGCTCATCGCGGCGCATGGCTACTTTCGCGCGCCCCCCAGCGCGCGCGCGTTCCACCTCGAGTTTTTCTCGAATCACCCGCCCGCGAACGCGGCGCACCACGATCCCTTCCCGCACCCCCCACCCCCCCCCAACCCATGCCCGTCCAAAGCATGCGCGTCGGTGCTCCGAAGGCGCAGGGCGATCTGGGAGTTACCCAGCCCCACCAGTGGAACACCTGTGTGAAGACGTCAAGACCCAGGCGTGACCCGCCAGTGTTGCCGCTCTCCCCAACACTGCTCTGGCCCACTCGGTTCTGCACCGAGGTTGTTTGGGCCCGAGCCCCCGTAAACGGCCGCGCGCTGTCGTGCCCGGCGCAAATGCGGAGGAGGGTAAAGAGGGGGGGGGGGAACTCAGGAAACGTGTCCCGCGCATGGGCGAAAACACTACTCTGAACGACGGGGTCAGAGCGCCGATCCTGAATGTGGCCGACGCTGCATTGGGTGGCGGCGGAAACGCTCCGATAGGAAATGAGGGCAGAGGAGAAGCACATGAGGAGGAGGAAGAGGAGGAGGAGGAGGAGGAGGAGGAGGGGGAGGAGGATCGAAGGCCGCGATCGGAAAAAAAAATAGACAGGGATGGTAAGAAGACACGAAGACGGAATTGGAAGGGGATCGTGCGCAGCAAAGGCGACCTGGGTTGCAAGTCCACCCACCCACGTGCTGGCCCCGTCGACCGGAGGAGCCGGAGCTACCAGCATAGATGATGCGCGATGTTCCGAGGGTGACCAGGACGCTCGCTGGATCGCTGTTTCTGCGCATTCGGCCAGGCTGGAAGTTCAGAACGGCGTCGATCGACACTTCTCATCATACCTGGCCAAAGATCGAGCTCAGACACGGCTCGTCGGCTGCGCATCCCGGCAGCGCCCCGTTCTCTCCCACCGTCCTCCCGCAAATTCCACCAGCCTTCTGGGCGTCGGTGGTTTAGGGAGTTTCCTCTTCCACCCCTCCTTCTTCACCTTCGGGGAAGGGTTTACCCCTCCCACTAGCCCCCCCCCCGTGGACCTGGACAAGGGGTTCCGCGAATCGTCGAAGTGTCCAAAACGGCCTCGGCGAGGAAGCCAACATCATTTGTTTCCCTGAGGTGTTGGCCCCATTTTGGCCTCCTGATGGGGGGGACCGTAATTGGGGACCCCCCTCCCGTGATCGATCTCCCCCAAGATGGCCCAAAATGGCCCCCAAGGCTCCCAAGGGTGCCCCAAGAGGGCCCCAAGAGGTGGCCAGGAAGCCCCAAGAGGCCCCCAGGATGCCCCCAAGAGGCCCCCAAGAGACCCCCAAGAGGCCCCAAGAGACCCCCCAGAGGCACCCAAGATGCTCCAAGAGGCCTCGGCGAAGATATCCCAAGATGTCTCATAATGGTTTCCTCTGTGTGCTGCCCACTTCCCTGATCGAGGCAGTTCCTCTGGGCATCGTTTCTGGATGGGCTGGTGGGGATTCTTTTTCGGTTGCGGCCGCGCGCCAACGGCCTGGCGGCGGAAGCAGTGTCCAGGGCGGCGGCGCAATGCAAATTAGCGGACCCGGCCGCCAGGTTGGCTAGCCAGAACGCACCTGCAAAACAGGCACGCGTATGCACATGCACACGCACAGAACAAAATTAAGTAATTCAAAGCAGCGGAGCGAGTCGCCGGATCGGCGCCAGACTCCGAGCCAAGCCCACGCCTACCAGCGGGCTAGTGACGGGCAAAGCAGGGAATACAAGGCAGGCGGCCCCCGGACGGCTGTACCGCACGAGGCGCTGGCCTCAGCATCCGCGCCCAGCCGCAGTGGCCCAGGGTGGCCCGAAGCACACCGGCAAACGGCCGAACCGGCGCGGGAAGTGCCCAACCTGTACGGGAAAGTTGGACACTCGGAGCCGCTCAGATCACGCAGTGTGCTGAAGGCTGCCGGCGACGACCCGAAGCGCGGATGTCACTGAATTCAGTCGCGGATTCCGCCGGCGGGCACCACTGCCAACTCTCGGAAGGGCCAGCGCTGTGTGCCGGGGTCCTGCAGAAGCACCTGACTGGAGAGGGGGGCGCAGCTGACCGCCGCAAGAAACTATTTACATCACACGTTCCTCACGCCGAGTTCACCTGCGCGGTGAGAGGGGGGTGCACCTGACCGCTGCGGAGCACCGTTGCCGTGATCAATCTGCACCAATCAACGCCAGGCCCGCCGAGGCGCAACTCCCTGTGCCAGCGGCGGCGACGTCCACGCGCCACTGGGCGGGCCAGCACGTGGACAAAACCGGCGGGATGAGCTGTGGGTGGCCCGGGGGGGGGGCACCTCCGCTGCCAGCCAAAAGTACCCACAGGACGTGACCGACACGGCAGCGGCGGCTGGTGGGGATTCGCGAAGCGTCAACAATTTGCGCCCTCGGCACGTGCAATCTATGGGTCATAATGCGACAAAGGAAGCGAAAGCGCGCTGCGTCCAGCCGAAACCGACTCGCGAGGGATGCGGCGCAGGGGCCGCAGCCCTCACATGATTTTGTACTTCGTGAAATCCTCTTCAAAAGCCTCCCAATTTCCGGAACATCCAACCATGATTCCTGAAACGTGCGTCCGTAAGAAACGTGTTTAATGTCAGCCCAACAATTTTTGGGTCTACCTCGTGTCTGCCCACCGCCTATGGGTAAAAATGAGGGGCTTCGAACGGTCATTCACTGTCCCTGGGCGCTTGGCTGAACTACGGTTCTGCGGTGCGGGTTGATGTTGTCGCTGTTGTTGATGCTGTTGTTTGTGTTATTATTGTAAATGTTGTTGGTGTTGGTGGTGTTGTTGCTTGTTAGTGTCGCCCCCCAGACCCACCCCACGACCCACCAGTGACCCACCCGCGACCCACCCCACGACCCACCCGCGACCCAACCGCGACCCACCCGCGACCCACCCGCGACCAACCCACAACCCAGCCCGCGACCCACCCGCGACCCACACGCAGCCCACCCGCGACCCCCCCCCCCGCGACCGACCCACATTGCTTGAACGGAAAAATCGGCGCCTGCGGCGGGCTCAGTGCATGATTTAGAGACGGGCGCCTGCGGCGGGTTTCTTCAGAGCCTCGCAAACTGCCAACGTCCCCGCCGCCCCCTCGCTGTCATCCGCGACTGCGGGGTGTTCCGTACTGTTCTCCTTTTTTCCCTGTGAAGCCGCGACGGTGCCGCCGTTTGTCCCGCATACCTATTGCTTTTCGTTCGCAAGAGGCTAGCACAATGATTTGATCTCAACGTGTTCGGCCGTTCGGTTGCAACGTTGGCCACGTTTCGGGGTCTGCGCTTTGCCCCCGTCCAGAATGGCGTTCCGCGGGCCACACTTCTGGATCCGAGCCTTTCCTCGTCGTTGTCGCACATTTCTTCCCCCCTCCTCCGGATTCCCCAGCTCATCCTGCTCATCCTGTTCCTGCTCCCGCTACCGTTGTTCATCATCCCCACCCTCAACCCTCCTCCTGCTCCTCCTCCTCCTCCTCATCCTCCAGCTCGTCATCATGAGAGAGGGAGGAGGAGGAGGAGGAGGAGGAGGAGGAGGAGGAGGAGGAGGAGGAGGAGGAGGAGGAGGAGGAGGAGGATGAGGAGGAGGAGAGGAGGAGGAGGAGGAGGAAGGAGGAGGGAGGAAGGAGGAGGGAGGATGGAGGAGGAGGAGGAGGAGGAGGAGGAGGAGGAGAGGAGGAGGAGGAGGAGGAGGAGAAGGAGGGGGAAGAGGAGAAGGAGGAGGAGCAGGAGCAGGAGCAGGAGGAAAAGGAAGAAGACGAGGAGGCCGCCACCTCGTCGTGGTCTCCCCTTCACCACCACCGCCACCACCACCACCACCTCACCGTGCACAAATCCGTTCTGCGATGGGGCCATTCGAGGGGGCCCAGGTCCGCCATGACACCAGCCGGAGGGCAGATGGAAACAATGGCAACAGAAAAAGGGATGGATGGAAGAGAAGGATGCCTGACATGGCGCGAGCGCGCCCAGCATGCCTCCCTTCTCTCCTGTTAACCCTCCTCCTCTTCTTCCTCCCTCTTCTAGATCCTCCTCAAGTTCCCCCCCGCTTCCCCTTGTGGCCCTCTTCTTATTCCTCCGCCTCCTCCTCCTTCTCCGCCTCCTCCTCCTCCTCCTCCTTTTCCTCCTCCTCCTCCTCCTTCTCCTCCTCCTCCTCCTCCTCCTCCTCCGCCTCCTCCTCCTCCTCCTCCCACGGCGCGCGCGGGTCACTCCCTCGCCCGCAGGCACCTCCGTCGCCCGTCCCGGGCGGCTCCTCGGGGATGGCCAGCCGCCAGAGACTGCAGTCACTCCGAGGGGGGGAGGGTCTGCCTCCCTCTCGGCCTCCTCCCGGCACCCGCCGACAGGATTGCTTCAAGCCGCAGCCCCAGAGACCCCGACCCTTTCCCCAGGGGATGGTCTTTCGTCCCGGATCTCTGCTGGTCCCTGGCCCGACAACAAGACCCGGAGGCCGACCAATCCGGGCAACACCGCGTGACTGAACACATCAGATCCTCGGATCTCCGAGCCCCCCTCCTCCGCGGGGATTGGGGGGGTTCGCCGCAGCGCGTCCGCCGCGAAGTTCGTCGCAGGCAGACGCAGCACTCGCTGCGGGGGTCCTCTGCCTCCGCGGCGCGCGGGCGCGGCGGCGGCTGGGGGGGGGGGGGGCGGGGGGCGAGCGGCAGCAGCCGGCGGCGGCCCTTCTCACGCTGCTGCTCCCACCACAGGGGGCGGCAGGCGAGCGCCCTCCTGCCGCTGCCCTCCCCGCTCCTCGCCCTTCTCGCCCCTGCGTCGTCGCCGCTCCTCCTCTGCTGCCCCCCGTCCCTCCGCCCCGTCCTTCCCGCTGGGGAAAGCAGCAGCAGAAGCAGCAGCAGCAGCACCACCACCACCACCAGCAACAGGAGGAGCTACAGATGGAGGAGGACGAGGACAAGCACTTGTGGGGCAGGAGGTGGAGGAAAAGAACGGTGACCATGACCAAAACAGAACGCAGAAATGCCATGCTAATATTGGTCAGCGTCGATTTGGGTCAGCGTCGCTTCGTGGAAAATCCTCGCGAATCGGCGACGGCCGACATGGACCGTGACCAAGATCGGCATTGACAAGATTCAGCGACATCTTGGTCATGGTCACCGCATTTCTTCCCTCGAGCAGGTGGACTCGCGGCGCGAAGGAACGTATGTGGCAGCCCTGGGAAAGGTCGGCGGCGAGCGAGGGTGGGAAGAGGGAAGGAGAAGGTCTTCTCGAAAAGCATCAGGGCTTCTCAGGAACCCTCCGGCCTGCTGAGAGGTTTTCTGTCCCGCTCTGTGGCCCCCTGATCTGGCTTCGTGGCCCCTATAAGCGTTCGTGGACTTCCGAGCCTTCTGAGAAGGGCTTTTCCTTCTCACTTCACTCCTGGACTCGCCGGCGAGAAGGAGAGCAGCAGCATCAGCGATCAGCGAAAGGAGTACGAGGCTGGTTCAGACATCGCAGCCCCGAACGTTGCTCGAAGCCACGGGCCGCGCGTCCACAGGAGGGGTCCCCGTCATGAGCGCGCTGCTAGTGCACGGGGGTGTGCAATCACTGACGCTGGACCCCTCCGACGTGGGAGGGATGGGACGGGACGGACCCGCTGCCGCTGCGAAGCCCAGCGAGAGCGCCTCGAGCGAGGACAGCAACGACTGCGCTGGGCTCTAGTCAGTGGAGGTCTCGCGGGCCGAGGCCTCGGTCGACAGTCTTGAGGATTGCTACCTCGAGGGAGCTCTTCTAAGAGGGGCAATGAGGGAGGGGAATTCTCAGAGATGAGGCGGGGCAATTCAATGCGAGAATTACTTCCCAGGTGGCGGAGCTCGAGGATATGATGAATAGTCTGGCTCAACAGCTTCACGGGGAGCATCGGCCCTTGTCAGCGCCAGCAGGGCCCAATACTTCGACCTCCTTGGCAGGGAACGGGCGTCGTTGATCGGTGGCGAGCGAGGGGGGGAAGTGAGAAGGGGCGGGCCCTCTCAGAAGGCCCGGACGTCCTCGGGCCTTCTGGAACGTGTTCCGAGCCTTCCCCGAAGACACAGAGAACCTTAGGGGGCCACATGCGAACCCTACCCCTGCCCCCACGATTTCTGAGGAGGAGGGTGGGGTTCACCCCGCTCGGCCAGACGAAGTGACCCCCCCCCCAGAAATCGTGGGGGGCAGGGGTAGGGTTCGCATATGTGGCCCCCTGACGTTCTCAGAAGGTTCGAGGGCCTCCGAGGAGTCCCGCCGCCCTCTGAGGCCTTCCTTCCCCGTGGGCGCGCGCCGCGGACCTCGGCTTTCGAGCCACACCTCGGGTCTCGGGCGGCCGCCCCGGACGCTCCCGGCACCCCCCATGGACGCCCGCGGCGAGGCGCAGGCTGCTGGCGAGCACCCCGAGGCCGGAAAACCGCCGAGGGCCGGCGCAGACGTGCGAGGGCCCGGGCACCTCGGACCTCGCAGGCCTTCTCCGTGGCCCTTCCCCCCCTCCTCGCTCGCCGCCGAATCTCTCGGCAGGCGTGCCGGCGAGGCTGCGGCGGCGAGGCCGGAGGCCGGTCCGCTGCCTGCGCGGCCAGCTCCGAGAGAGCGAGACCTCACCGCCGGAGCGCTGTCAGGAGCCCGAAATCATGAACGAGGCCCCATGTTTCCACACGTTGGACTTCGATTCCTGATGGGGAGCCTCAGGAAAACCTCAGGAAACGATGCAGGAACCCTGAGCCCCTCCCCAACGAGAAGGGCTCCTTCTTCAGCACCCCGACCGTATCTGGCCAGCCAGCTCCGTCAACGAGAAGACGCTGGGCGCGACGTCCACAACCATCATCGTGTGCCAGGACCGCGGTGAGTACTTTTCACAGTTTTGAAGTGGCCCGAGGCGGCTCAGGGCACAGGGCCGCAGACGATCACTGACATTATGTTCTGTCAGAAGCAGGCTCTCGACGGCTGGGTCGAACAGCAGATCCCATCGAAAGCCCCACGGGTGGTACCTCCAAGGCCAAAGGCCTTGGTCAGGCAAGTTGGCGCCCATGCGCCCTCACGTCTCGGATCCCCTAGGGCATCAAGGATGACACGAAGGGTCTTTAGAAAAGGGCCCCCCCCCCCTGGTTCTCTCTCCGGGGAATAAAACTCCGCGCCCCCCCGTCCTCCCCCCTCCCTCCCCCCGCCCTCCCCCCTCGCTCCCTCTCCCTCCCCCCACTGAGACCCTCCCGCAAGCTACGAGGACTGAGGACCTCTCGCAAGCTACGAGGACTGAGGACCGCGAGCTACGAGGACTGAGGACCGCAAGCTACGAGGACTGAGGACCGCAAGCTACGAGGACTGAGCACCGCAAGCTGTAGTAGTAGTAGTAGTAGTAGTAGTAGTAGTAGTAGTAGTAGTAGTAGTAGTAGTAGTAGTAGTAGTAGTAGTAGTGGTCGTAGTAGTAGTAATAGTTGTAGTAGAAGTTGTAGTAGTAGTAGTAGTAGTAGTAGTAGTAGTAGTATAGTAATAGTAGTAGTAGTAGTAGTAGTAGTAGTAGTAGTAGTAGTAGTAGTAGTAGTAGTAGTAGTAGTAGTAGTAGTAGTGGTCCTACTAGTAGTAATAGTTGTAGTAGAAGTTGTAGTCGTAGTAGTGGCGGTCGTAGTAGTAGTAGTGGTAGTAGTAGTAGTAGTAGTAGTAGTAGTAGTAGTAGTAGTAGTAGTAGTAGTAGTAGTAGTAGAAGTCGTCGTAGTAGTAGTAGTAGTAGTAGTAGTAGTAGTAGTAGTAGTAGTAGTAGTAGTAGTAGTAGTAGTTGTAGTAGTAGTAGTAGTAGTAGTAGTAGTAGTAGTAGTAGTAGTAGTAGTAGTAGTAGTAGTAGTAGTAGTAGTAGTAGTAGTAGTAGTAGTAGTAGTAGTAGTAGAACTAGTAGTGGCCGTAGTGAGCAGTAGTGGATTGGATTCCCGTTATTGTTCGCCGTGCTGGTTGTTGGTGGGTGGTTATCTCTCCTGGAAAAGAACCTCGCGTGGGCTACCATACACGGGGGATGTTTCCCGAGCTTGTCCGTACAAGGCGCGTAGTACAAGATCGCTCCGTCTCAGGTCGCTGCTCATGTTCAGTCAGTCAACATCAACCCAGCCAGTCCCCATCAGTCCCCATCATTCCAATCAGTCCCCATCTTCCCAATCAGTCCAATTAACGCCAATCAACCGGAACAGTCCCCATCAGTCCAATCTGACCCATCAGTCCAATCAGTCCCACCCTGCCCGCTCGGCCAGGATTCGAATCCCGATATTGTTCGCCGTGCTGGGTATTGGTGAGTGGTTCTTTCTCTTGGAAAACAACCCCGCGTGGGCTACCCTACACCGAGGAGGTTTTCGGAGCCTGTTCGTGCAAGGCACGTAGTACAAGGTCGCTCCGTCTCGAATCGCTGTTCAGCGTCAGTCAGTCCAAATCAATCCAGCCAGTCCCCATCAGTCCCCATCATCCCAAGCAGTCCCCATCATTCCAATCAGTCCAATCAATGCCAATCAACCGAATCAGTCCCCATCAGTCCAATCTGACCCATCAGTTCAATGAGTCCCCCCTGCCCGCTCGGCCAGGATTCGATTCCCGATATTGTTCGCCGTGCTGGGTATTGGTGAGTGGTTCTTTCTCTTGGAAATCAACCCCGCGTGGGCTACCCTACACGGAGGAGGTTTTCGGAGCCTGTTCGTGCAAGGCACGTAGTACAAGCTCGCTCCGTCTCGAATCGCTGTTCAGTGTCAGTCAGTCCAAATCAACCCAGTCAGCCCCCATCAGTCCCCATCATCCCAAGCAGCCCCCATCATTCCAATCAGTCCAATCAATGCCAATCAACCCGATCAGTCCCCATCAGTCCAATCTGACCCATCAGTTCAATGAGTCCCTCCCTGCCCGCTCGGCCAGGATTCGATTCCCGTTATTGGTCGCCGTGCTGGGTATTGGTGGGTGGTTCTTTCTCGTGGAAAACAACCCCGCGTGGGCTACCCTACACGGGGGAGGTTTTCGGAGCCTGTTCGTGCAAGGCGCGTAGCACAAGATCGCTCCGTCTCAGGTCGCTGCTCATGTTCAGTCAGTCCACATCAACCCAGTCAGTCCCCATCAGCCCCCATCACCCCAATCAGTCCCCATCTTCCCAATCAGCCCAATTAGCGCCAATCAACCGAATCAGTCCCCATTAGTCCAATCCGACCCATCAGTCCAATCAGTCCCTCCCTGCCCGCTCGGCCAGGCTTCGAATCCCGATATTGTTCGCCGTGCTGGGTATTGGTGGGTGGTTCTTTCTCTTGGAAAACAACCCCGCGTGGGCTACCCTACACGGGGGAGGTTTTCGGAGCCTGTTCGTGCAAGGCACGTAGTACAAGGTTGTCCTTCGGTTTTCCTTCGGTTTTCCTTAGGTTGTCTTTCGGTTTTCCTAGGTTGTCCTTACGTTCTCCTTAGGCAGTCGCAAGTTTTGCTTAGGATGGATAAATCGAGGATGAAGTTTCTCACGGTCCTCGTGGGTTCCCTCCCTCCCCGTGGGGCCCGAGTTCCACACGGAAAAAAAAATTGTCCATTCTTGTTGGGGTCCCAGTCCGTCAATAAGCCCGCGGGACAACCATATATTTGCGCACTATTGGGGGGGGTTCAAAAGACCCTGAGGGGTTAGGGCCTTAAAACCAGGAGGAGGGCTCCTGCGGGAGGATCAAGGCCTCCTGAATGGGGTCGGAGTGCATGGGATCATTGGGTCGGCCGCCCAGAAGGTCGGGGGCAACGTTAAGGGGTGATTAGGCTCAGGGGGGGATGCATCGACCCCCAATCGCCGATTGATCACCGATAGAGGCCGAAAAGCCCACCCCGCCCAGTAGCGTGCGGATATGCTAGCGGGGGCCTATCACCAATCAGCCGTCGATGTATCGCCGATTCCAGGTCGATGCCTCCCCCCCCGAGCTGGTCCTGGCCCAACGCTGCATGCCTCTCGAGGACGTGGAGAAGCTCGTGGCGGAGAAGGCGGACTGGAAGGCCTTCAGGATACCGGCGGCGCACCGGAAGGTGGCCCTGGGGCGCTGGTACTCCGCGGGGGCAAAGGTACCGAGGATGGCCCTCCTCCGTCTGCGCCTCCAGGGGGCCCCTCGCCGCCCCATGGCCGGGCGCAGCTCGGAAAGCTGGTGCGCTCGCACCCCGGGGATTACCGCTGTTGTCGACAGGTGCCGATACCGCTTTATCTCCTTGCTTCGCCTTCTCAGGAGGGAAACAAACACACAGACACAATTAGTCGTCGATCCCCAGGAAAGTAGGGGAAACATGGGAAGTGAGGGGGGGAGGACAAACACCCAGAGAATATAGGAAAATCTGGGGAATGCGGTTATTTGTGTGTATTTATTTGCGTGTCCCAGGGCCCCTTCACTTGAGCCGATCTGGGCCGGGGAGGCCCTCGCCGCCACGGCCAGGTTCGCCCCGGAATTCTGCTCGGAGCGCACCCCTGGAGAGGCTCGGGGGCAGTAGCACCGCAGCCACCACCGTCGCCACGGCTGGATTCGCCTCGAAGTTCTGCTCAGGGCACAGCATGGGAGAGGCCTGGGTCGGGGGCCACATGCGAACCCTACCCCTACCCCCCACGATTTCTAAGGGGGAGGGTGGGGTTCACTTCGTTCGGGAGCTCTCGAGCGTAGTGAACCCCACCCTCCCCCTCAGAAATCGTGGGGGGTAGGGGTAGGGTTCACATGTGGTCCCCTACTGGGGAGGCCTGGATGTCCGTAGAGTTGATTCTTTCAAGTGTTGACTCTTTCGATACGGGATCCCAGGAAAGTCCCGACCCTCTTCCCCAGAGGCCAGCCTTTCAGTCCGAGTTGTCTTTCGACGGTCCCAGGTCCCGGCGAGGGCCCCCGGAGGCCGAAAACGGCGAAAGCGACCTCCTTGACGTCTGTAATGCGCTGGAGGTCTGGGTCCTTTTCTGTTCGCCCCAGGTACATGTCTCGCGTGCGCGCGGTGGTTGCAAGCCAGCAGCGGTGGAACATGCTGATCGAGGCCGTGTGCGCCAGCGAGGCGAGCCTGCGCAGCTGGCTGGAGATCTGCAACATCAGCTCGCCGCGCCTGGCCGCGACCACGAAGTCCATGCAGGAGCCTTGGCATCGCTCGGACGTGTGCATTTTTCCTTCGGCGAGGACCATCGAGGAGCATCCTGGATCATTTGGCGAAGAAGCCACGCACGAAACCAAAAAAAGCACAGGGAATGGACGTCCGAGCGATGGCCAGGAGCTGGAGATGGAGAGGTTCCGGTACCTGCTCGAGAAGAGCAGGCTGCGGCCGGAGAAGAGCAAGCCGCGCGGCCGCCTCTCGAGTAGGGTATCGACTAGAGCATTGAGTTACCCCAAGATTGATCTTCCAGATGCACCTGAAGAAAACACATCGGCGGACAAGTAATTTCGGCGGACAAGTAATTTCGGGATGAATGAATTCTGCAGCCGGTCTCCTACTCGAGCCCCGAATCCACGTCGACGCACCGCACGGTGGGGTCACCGCACCGCTTGGGGGGCCCCCGAAGAGAGGAAGCAAGGGCGCCCTCGAGGGCGCGAAGTTATTCGCCCTTCGCGCCTCGCGATTCGGCTCCGATTCCTCCTTATCCTCCTCTTCTCCCCTGGGAGGCGGCGCGAGAGCGCGAAGTTGTTCGCGCTTCGCGCAGCGCGAAGCGCGAAGTTGGGAGCCCTTGGGAAGACACAGAAGCCGTCGGCGCTCCGCGCGGACTGCTTGGAGCGGAGCTGGGCCCTCGGAGGCGCCGCCACCGGGGGGGCCAGCGCCGAGCCAAGCAGGCCGCCGACCCCCAGAAGGCGTCGGGGCTTGCGACGATCGCGGAACTTCTCACAACACAGTCGCACTTTTTTTGTCGGCAGCCGCAGGCGAGAGCGCCAGCGGCGAGTCAGGCTCCGGGCGGGGCGCGCGAGGGCCTAATGAACCAGGAGCAAGCCTAACACTGCCACTCAGAACGGGATCAGGAGGAAGCCGAAGAGGGAAGCGGGTTGCTGTACTGCCAGGGGTTGCACGCATGCAAAGAGCTGCAGAGGGGGCTGACTGCCAGGGAGGCCGACTGCCAGGGTCTGCAAGCTGCTGGTGAATTGGATGCAAAGGGTGAGCACCCGAGGGACTGCGAAAGTACCAGGGTGGCCAGAGCCAGGTGGGCCGAGCCTCCACGATGCGAATTGTGTGCGAGTGAATGGGCCAGCCGAAGCTGAAGCGCAGCCAAAAAGGCGCGCAGGAGCACCACGATGCGACCAGGGTGAAGCACCTCAGAGTAGGCCCAAGATGCCTGCCAAGGTCTGGCGGGTGCAAGTGGTGGCGCCGGTAAAGCCGCACACCCAAGCCCCGTAAGAGAGGGGCGCAGTCCGCGGTCGACCATCCAGGGCTGGCGACTGACGCGAACCGAACATAGGCAGGCAATGAGAGGGAGACCCCGGCCACATCTTAACCGTCGGCTGGCCAGAGCAAGTCGACCCCCGTACGTACCAACGCCTGGGCAACGCGACCGGTGCCCCCACCCTCGAGGGGAATGTAGCTGCGATTTGCGCGGGATGAACGAACCTGGGCTGGTGGGGGATTGGTCCGCAACACCGTAGGACGCTAAACGTCGGATTTCTGAGAAAGCGTGTTCTCAGCATGTTTGCGCAGCTCGTGGCAAAGTTGTCATGGGCAAGAGGGTTCAACGATCGCTGTTCCCAAGGCTATTCGCCTTCACCTGGCAACGGGAGAGAGGAGAGTGTCCACAGTTACACGGGTGCCAGGTTTTTTGAATTCATTGAAAAAAACCCGGATATTACTCAAGACCGGGTTTTCAAAGACACGATGCTTAGTTCTATATGTGCCAGCCTTCATGCAGCCGCGGAGTCACGGGGGGGGGTTCTCGCCAGAGTCATGTTCCCTGCTCCGCAGCCTTTTTTCAGGGTTCAGCCTGAGTCCGCCAGAGGACGATAACGTTACTGAACTTCGCCTAGCGCTTGAGAAAAGTGTTATTCAGAGGGTGTTAAGTCGGGCCTGTCCCTCTACAGGGGGAATATTCCAAAAATAGTCAAAAAATTGTCCGGGGACGAGTTTTCGATCATTTTCGAGTATTCTAGGGTATGTTTTGACTATCTTTTATTTTTCGTCCAAAATCCCTATGCAGCGGGACAGGCCCGACTTAACTCTAGTGGCTTTCGGCCCAATGCGTCACCCCACCTGGGCTGTAGGTCAGGAGCCTCTTGGATGAATATGAGGATCTCTTGGGATGCCTCTCAGGAGCCTCTTGGAGGGCTTTCTGGGTGCATCTGGGAGGCTTGTTGGCGCCTCTGGGGGGGCCTCTTGGCTCAGGGGCTTCTTGGGGGCGTCCTAAGGCCTCTTGAGGTCTCTTGGGGGTGCCTCGGGGGCCTCTGGGGAGCTCTTGGGGCCGTCTTGCGAGGAACAACTCGAAATGTTAATTCGTATTCCCCCTCTGGGGCTTTCTGGGGGCCCTCTTGGGGCTCTCTTGGGCCGTCTTGGAGGCCTCTGGGGCCGTCCCAGGACCCTCTCGGGCCGTCTTGGGGCCCTCTTGGGAGCTTCATCGGCCGTCTTGTGATAACCTTCGGGGTCCGTTGGGCAGTCTTAGAAGATGTCTAGACGAATGCGGCGAGTGTGCTAAATAAGCATGGTGCCTAAGGGTATGGGAAGATGTTTGCATATTAGGGCCTTAGGGCCTTCTCGGCGGTCCTCTGGGAAGACTTTTCGGCTGTCTTAGGGGCCTTGTGGGCCATCTTGAAGTTATCTTGGGTCGTCGTCGGGCTACTCTGGGCCGTCTGAGCTCTCTCTATTCGACTGTCTTGGCGTTCTGTCTGGGCCCTCTTGGAGCTTTTTGGAGGCTCCAGAGGCCCTAGGTCTGCGTTGGCGAGCTCGTACCCCCCCCGCCGGGTCCCCCCCCCCTTCCCAACGTGATTTCAGATCCCAGGGGAGGGGGAAGGGGGAACAGGACAGCCAAATGTTTCACATGCCCTCTCACCCCCTGCAAGCGGGAGATCGGCGGATGTTTATGCAGTTGTTGTTTTCCTTTATTCGGGGCCCTCCCAAGCGGTGCAGTGACCACCCCGTGCGTTGCGCGTCGTCGGAGGCTCGAGGTGGTCACACGATTTTGGGATTGGGGTTGTTCTCCGAGGACGCCGCCGACCGTGCGGTGAGGTCTGTTGGGATTTCGAGGTCACCGCGCGGTCTGTCTGTCACCGCACCGTTCCCAGATTCTGGATCTGCAGTACTTTGGGCGATTTCGCAAATACGGCGGGAATGCCCGCCCTATTTCTCAAGCTCCTTTGATGTCGATTTCCGCCCTGCTTTGCCGTCGCCGTGTCCGCCATACCTTTGCGAACATATCCGCCCTGTTTATCTGAGGCGGAAATTTCAGCCGTATTGTTTCGCATCGTTTGGGGTGCGTTTCCGGCACCGCTGCCAGCCCGGAAACCAACCAAAGTGCGTACGGCTGATATTTGGAGTCAGGGTTGTGGGGCCCCCACAGGCTGGAGGACTTCGTCGCCTTCGGGGAGCAGGACGCGCTGGCGCTCATCCATGCCGCCGCCAGGGAGCTGCGGGAGAGCCCGGGGCTCGCGCTGCAGCGGCACCCCGCGAACAGGGACTCGGCCAGCGGGACGCCGGCCCCGCCGAGCCTGCGGAAGCAGACCGCCCGGGGCCCGGGCTCCCTATCCGGCCGCCTTGCGGCAGGTCCCGCCGCCCTGATTTGCGATCTCGGCTTCTGAGAGGCTGGCGCCAACACCGGCATCGGCGCTGCGCCTCCACCGAGGGAAGGTGATCCCGATCGCGGTGAGGGTGGTAATATTCGGGTTTCCCAGGTGGCCGACAGATTACCACCAACACGAAATCTGGGATCATCTTCCCGCGGTGCCGAGTTGATTTCCGTAATGTATCGGAAATGCACCCAAATGGTGCGAACAAGTACGGCGGAGATTCCAGAGCAGGGCGAATGGTTCTGCAAAGGCATGGCGAAACAGCGACGGCAAAGTAGGGCGGAAATCGCCATAAGAGGACGTTGTGAAGCGCACGGTGGGAATTCCAGCCCTATTCACAACATCGCCCAGCGTACGGCGGTTCCGGAGTCAGGGTTCAGCCTGCGTGTCCTGAGATCATCTGGGCGCTGCAGGGTTTGCACAGCGGCCGTTTTCGCCCGATGTCGGGCCCCGGGGCGATCACAGATCGATCGGGCTCGAACAATGCTGCAAACAAAGGTGGTCTTCGGGCATTGGCAGAACGCCCCCTTCCTGGAGGACACAAGTCGATTGAGGAAATCTGCTCCGGTTAACTCAACATTGGCATTCGAGTGTGCTGGTGCAGTCCGCAGTCGGTTTCGCTGATCGACGTACGTCTCGCCAGATGCATTCTGGTGGGGTCCACTCGGAATGCAGTGCCGTGCGCACCTGGAGTGCCCTGGCAGCTTTCACTAAAGGGCGTCCTGCTACGTAAAGGGGGCTCTGTTCACCCCCGGTCTGGGGTCCCAGGAATTGGCGCGTTTGATGGGCGTGTTTTCCACCACCACCACCACAAGTTGGAGGAGGAGGAGGAGGAGGAGGAGGAGGAGGAGGAGGAGGAGGAGGAGGAGAGGAGGAGGAGGAGGAGGAGGAGGAGGAGGGAGAGAGGAGGAGGAGGAGGAGGAGGAGGAGCGAGGAGGAGAGGAGGAGGAGGGAGGAGGAGGAGGAGGAGGAGGAGGAGGAGGAGGAAGGAGGAGGAGGAGGAGAGGAGGAGGAGGAGGAGGAGGAGGAGGAGGAGGAGGAGAGGAGGAGGAGAGGAGGAGGAGGAGGAGGAGGAGGGAGGAGGAGGAGGAGGAGGAGGAGGAGGAGGAAGAGGACCCCCTCCCCCTCCAACTTATGGTGGTGGTGGTGGAAAACAGGCCCATCAGGGTTCCCGCGAGACTGCAGGTGGCTTGCGGCGTCGGACCGCAGGGGGGCGGCGCCTCGGGCGCCGCGACCCAGAGGGCCGCAGGGCTCGAGCTAAGAGCGGTGCTTTGGCGACGGCGTGGGCCGGTCAGTCCTTCGTCGTTGCTCTGTTGCCGATGCGCCGTCCGGGCGCCTGGCTTCCCTGTCTGTCACTGCCCAGAGATCCAAGGCACTGGCAAAATCAAGACGGAGTTTTTCGTCAATGTCGGCCCCCAGGGGCCCTCGCTGGGCCTCGGGGCCGTCAAAGAACGACGCAGGATGAAAAGCCGGTCCTGGGGAATGGGTCGAGGCTTCCGGGGACCGCGCATGGGAAAAGTCACGACGTCGGACTTCTGGGTGTCTGCCTGTGGTCCGCTTTCCTTTGCGACGTCGCCCCTGCAGAGGCAGCGCGAAGGCAGCACGAAGGAGCGCGGGAACAGGACGAGGACGAGCCAAGCACTGCTCAGCTCGAGCCCTGGAGGGCCGCAGCGCGTGGCGCCCCGCGCCTCGCTCGAGTGGCCCTGCCGAGAGAGCGGTGCGCCCTTGGGCCGTCGCATGTGGCGGTCTCTGTGGCCTCCCGGGCCCCGGCTCTCGCGGGGCTGCCTCGGGGGCCTCTTGATCGGAAACCGGAACGTGTCCGCTACCAGTGGCGGGCTGTTCTTTCAATCATCCCAGGACTTTGTCGAGGGTCGGGGGCGACGTCCGGGTGGTGTGGCGTATACTGTTTTATCGTTTTCCCGGGGCAGTGACGAACAAATGTATACACCAGGCTCCCGTCTACACCAGGATCCACGTGTCTCTGCGAATTTCAGCGCAGGGTCGGGAAAAGCGTCGGTGTATAGAGTTCGTTTCCCTACAGGGGGGGAGGGGGGAAGGCTTCTCAGAGAAACACCTCTGCTTCTCAGAAGGCGCGGGCCTTGTCTGTAGATGTAGGGCCGGCGCCTGCTAAGGAGCTAAGAAACCTTCCCAGACATGCGACGTCCTGATTCTTTCAGGACGGCCTCCCTGGAGGTCCCGACCCGTTCCCCGGGGCCGTTTTTTCGTCCCGAGTCGTTTTTTAACGGTCCTGGGGCCCAGCGAGGGCCTCTAGAGGCCGAAAACGGCGAAGAATTTCCCGTCCTGTTTTTTTACGACGCCATCATGTCTTGGTCCCCCCCCCCGCCCCGATTCTTTCCCGACTCTTTCCCTGTCGGTGTATAGAGTTTGGCTCCTTTTCTTGAGCTGTCTCGAGCCCCTCGTGGGCCGTCCTGGGGCCTCCGAGGCCCTCCGAGGAAGCCTCTCTCGGGCCGAGATATGCTGCGGGGGGGGGGGGCTCTCCAGCTGTTCGGGAACGCCGTTGGATCTCACCTCGGGCCGTGGAATGATTTGGGCCTTCACGGATGCCCTATCTAGCTCGGATGCAGCTCCTGGGAGGTCAGATTCTGATTTCGCCCTGGTCCGACAGCCGGCTCAATCCCGTCTCATCCTCCAAATGGGGCTAATCCTCCTTAGTGGGGCTTCATTCCGGCGTAACAGCTCCCAAATGGGGCTGAATCCTCCCTCATCTTTCCGACGAGAAGCCCCCAGTAGCTGCCTCCAAACTCTGGGTCTTTTCTCCACTGCTTGTGGCGCCTGGATCTTGTTTGGGGTTGATGGGTGCCCATGGTGAGGCCATCTTGGCTGTCCTGGTGACCCATCTTGGGTCGGGCCGGGCGAAAGGGGGGGATTGGGAAAGGGGGGGTTACGAAATTTGCTGCATGCAGCTGGTTTCGGCCTCACCGAGGTGCCCATTCCTCGATACATGGCCGCCTCCGGCGCCAGGAGGCGCCAGGAAAATCAGCTACGTGAGCTGATTCTCAACCCCCCCCTTTGCTATCCCCCCCTTTCGCCCGACCCGATTGGGGCCGTCTTGAAGCCCTGATTGAGCCTTTTTGACGAGCAGTTGGGGCTGTTCGGGCCGGCCAGGGAACCTCAGGAGGGGAGGAGGTCGCACGCGACTGAGCCTGCCAAGGGGGGGGGGCCCTTCGAAAGGTAAGTCGGGCCTGTCCCTCTACAGGGGGAATATTCAACAATAGTCAAAAAATAGTCTGGGGACTATTTTTGGGCATGTTGTGAGCCGTTTTTGAATATGGTTTATTCTTCGTCCCAAATCCCCCTGTAGGGGGAAAGGCCCGACCTAATTCTAAAGACGACCCGGTGGCACCTGGCACTAAGTCGGGCCTGTCCCTCTACATGGGGAATGCTCAAGAGTAGTAAAAAAAATAGTCAGGGGACTTTGTTGGACAATTTGTTCCCTACCCAGGCTCTGCCTAGAAGGGTTCTTACTCTCTGGGCTTAAAGGGGCCGGGCAGTGGAAAGCGCCCCGGGCGGTTCCCCCAGTATCCGCCCCGCGGTTCCTAGCTTAGCTTATTTCATCTTAGCTTAATGTAGCTTCATCTTAGCCCAGGTCTATCTTAACTTAGCTGACCTTCATCTTAGCTTCGTTGAGCTTTAGCATAGCAGAGCACAGCATAGCATAGCATAGCACAGCATAGCGCAGCATAGCATATCATAGCATAGCCCAGCATAGCATAGCATAGCGCAGCATTGCATAGCATAGCATAGCGCAGCACAGCACAGCACAGCACAGCATAGCACAGCGCAGCATATCATAGCATAGCATAGCATAACAGAGCAGAGCATAGCGCAGCATAACATGGCATAGCATAGCATAGCATAGCAACTAATGCTGCTTTCCTAGGGGCTCCAACTTCTAGGTAGGGTCGCACTGGGGTAATTGGTACTTTAGGGTATTGTCGGCTATTCTTAAATTCTTCGTCCACAGCCCCCCTGTAGGGGGACAGGCCCGACTCAAACTTGGCCCTCTACCACGCCTCTGCGTGCCGGCGGGGGGGGCTGCGGAGGCGGAGGCGGATCCCGGCCGCCCCCCTCGATGGTCGGCCCAAGGGCCAGCAGCGCCAGCCAGCTGCGCAGGCCCACCGTGGAGACCAGGCGGGGCCGCCTGCGATCCGATGCGGTGCGCCGGCCGGAGCCGCGACTCCGACTCGACCCCGCTCGGCTCGATTTGCCGGCATCGGCCAGGACCAGCCAGAGCCAGGCCCAGCGATCCGGTTTTCGACCCGGTCGAGGGGCGACCCGTGGGCGGCTCGATCCCTTTCCGTGCCGGCGCGACTCGATCCAGCTCAGTCTTGCCAGGGATCTGAAGAATGCTGGCGCTCCTTCTCCTTCTCCTCCTCCTCCTCCTCCTCCTCATCCCTCCTCCTTCTCATCCCTCCTCCTCCTCCTCCGCCTCCTCCTCCTCCCACCTCCTCCTCCTCCTCCTCCTCCTCCTCCTCCTCCCTCCTCCTCCCTCCTCCTCCCTCCTCCTCCTCCTCCCCCTCCTCCTCCTCCTCCCTCCTCCTCCTCCTCCTCCTCCTCCTCCTCCTCCTCTCTCCTCTCTTTCTCTTTCTCCTCCTCCTCCTCCTCCTCCTCCTCCTCCTCCTCCTCCTTGCAGGGAGCAGAAGGACGCTGGCGCGAGGGACGTGGAGGCGCTGTTTCACAGGTTCAACGGCTGGGCTCCCGACGACGCGCCTGGCGGCGGCGCTCCAGCGGCGGCTCAGCCGTTCCTTCTGGCTGGGGGCCCGTTTGCAGACTGAGTGCCAGGCCAGGACGATCGACATGGGTGCGTACGGACAGGATTGGTACCGATCTACGTTGGTTGGTCGATTCCGAAAGGGCTTCGCCCAAGGGGCATCGAAGGGTTGGCATCTCGCACTCGGCGGAGGCAGGCGGAATTGCAAAGCGAGCGTACGAAGATCGACTGCATGTCGTGCTCCTCTGGAGCAGGGCTCACTGTCCATGCCGCCGCTGGCGTTGCCTGTTTGAGACAGAAGGCCACCTGCCCAACAGCGGCTGCTGTCGGTTTTGGACGGACAGCATTTGCTGTTGGGCATCGTACCAATTTTTCCCGTACCCATTTCGGGCGTCCAAAGAGTGGGCTTGCCCGAAGCGCGGACGCTTGGTTAAGGCGGGCAGGGCAATCTCGTCCTCAGGAAATCCAAGCTGAAACTCCCCTGGCCTGCGGGCCGCAGCCCCTGACCCAGACCGAGGGGGAACATAAACCTGCGATGGTCGTTCCTGGCCGCTTCTGCGCTGCCTGGGCGGCAGCGGTCGGGGGGGAGGGGGGGGGGGAGTCCGGTCAGGGACGTTTGCTTCGCGTGTCGCGCCGCGCTCGCAGGCAGGGAGGCGGCGAGGATGGGGTCGGACGAGAGGGAGGATATGGAGAGGGGTTCGGGGGAAGGAGAAGGACGATCGGGTCGAAAGGAAGGGGGGTTCGAGGTTCGAGGTTTCTGGGCGATGCCGTCGGCCCTCGGAGCTTGTGCAGCATCGGGATGCTTCCCAGCAGCTGCGCCTCGCCGCGAGTGTTCCGATGGGTGCCAGGACCGTCCGAGGGTGCCAAAGGGGCCCCGCCGCGTGGGACGCAGCGCTGCGCCGGCGATCGGTGCGCAGGGCACAGCGTGTCGCAGGGACCGCCGCCGCGACACGCTGAGCAGAGGTTCCTGACCATGCGTGGACATGTCGGCAGGGTTCACGAACAGTGGGAAGGACACGCGGCCGAGCAGTGCGCAGTGTTTGCCATGCGATAACCATCCCCCTGGTCGTTTCGTGACTCGGGTGCGGCGTTGCCTCGATCGTGTTGCGCGCTTGCCCAGTAGCTGCTGCATGTCAAGAGTGCTTCCTCATGTTTGTCACTGGATGCTCGCATGAAGTGCGAGGCATCTCCCTTCGCAGGGAACAGGCACACGACATGTAGCTGAGTTGTGCTGCAGAGAATACATGCTCCCCTGGCTCCCTCTCCTCCCTCCCCCCTCGGTCCTCCTCCTCCCTCCTGCTGCTGCTCGTCTATCTTCCAGCCGTGCGGTCGCCTTGGGCACGTCGCGCCGCACGGAGGAGGTCATCTCAACAAGCTGGTGGCCGCATGTCCAGGTGGTATGGCGAGGAGTCAGGCCGCCATCGCGCGGAGGATCGCCTGTGGCGAGGCTCCGAAAGCTGGGGCCACGACGCGGCCGTCGGGCGAACCGGTGAGGCCGTGGGCGCAGGCGCGGCGCGAGCCCGCCGCAGGGGGTAGGCACTGCTCCTGCTGCTCCCGCCTGCCTCCATTCATCCACCGCTTTCCCCTGCGCTTGTCCTCGCCTGTCAAGCCGCGCGCTTCTCGAGTGCGAATGGCCAGACTCCTGCTGGTGCTGCCCCCCCCCCCCTCAACCCTCCCCCTCCCTCTCGTCCTCCTCCCCCTCATCCGTCCTCACTGCTTCGGGGGTCGTTTGCGCAATCCGCTTTCCGAGCTGGTGGTCCTGTCGCTTCCATTCTCTAACCCTACAGTCTCAGCCCTCTGTGCCAGTACAGTGCTCCTCATCCCCAGACATGCGACGTCCAATTGTTCCCTACCTAGGCTCTGCCTAGAGGGGTTCTTACCCTGTTCTCTTAAAGGGGGGGCAGTGTAAAACGCCCCGGGCGATTCCCCCGGCATCCGCCCCGTGGTTCCCCCAGTAACGTCCCCTTAGCTCAGCGTTGCTTATCTCATCTTAGCTTAGCCTAGCTTAACCTAGCTTAGCTTAGCTTAGCTTAGTTTAGCTTAGCTTAGCTTAGCTTAGCCTAACCTAGCCTAGCTAAGCTTAGCTTAGCTTAGCTTAGCCTAGCCTAGCTTAGCTTAGCTTAGCTTAGCTTAAGCCTAGCCTAGCTTAGCTTAGCTTAGCTCAGCTTAGCTTAGCTTAGCGCAGCGCAGCACTAGCGTAGCATAGCAAAGCGTAGCATAGCATAGCACATCATAGCATCGCATATCATGTAATAGCATAGCGCAGCATAGCATAGCGCAGCATAGCAGCATAGCGTATCATAGCATTGCATAGCGCAGCTTAGCATAGCCTATCATAACACAGCATATCATAGCATGGCTTAGCATACCACAGCGCAGCATAGCATAGCATACCATATCATAACATATCATAGCGCAGCATAGTATATCATAGTGCATCATAGCATAGCATAGCATACCATAACAACATGTGTAGCTGTAGATGTAGATGTGAGTCTCGCTGTTGATGCTGGTGTAGATGTAGATGCAGGTGTAGATGTTAATGTAGCTGTCGGTGTAGATGTAGATGTTGTTTTCCTAGATGCTCCAACTCCTAGGTAGGGTCGCACTGGGGTATTTTTTCACGCGGTCCACGGAAGTCCCGACCCTTTCCCCGGGACCGGTTTTTCATCCCGAGTCGTTGGATGACGTTCCCAAGGCCCGGCGAAGGCCCCCAGAGGCCGAAAATAGCCAAAATCTTCCCCGCGTGATGGTTGTCACGACGCAATCATGTCTGGGTTCGTAGAACCATCTGGGCTCGAGGCGCCGCCAGGCTCTCAGCCAGAGCTTTCCGCCGCGGCTCGCGGCCGCGGCGGCCGCCGCGGCGATGGCCGCCTTCTTCTCGGACAGCGACGACGAGAGCGGCGGCTCACTCGAGCGCGAGGCGGGCCCGCCGGCGGCTCCGCACGCCGGCGCGCCGCACGCCGGCGGCGCGACGCCAGCCACGCCGCCCGTGCGCCCCGCGCCCGCGGCGGCCGCCACGTCGCCCGCGCAGCCGCCGCCGCAGCGCGCGGCCGCGGCCGCCGGCAGGGCCGCGCCGGGCCGCGGGCGCGCGGCGGCCGGGCGCACGCCGGGCGGCGGGCGCACGCCGGGCGGGCCGCCCGCCGCCGGCCGCGGCCAGGCGACGGGCGGCGCGGCCCCGCCGGGCAGGCCGGCGGCCGCCGCCGCCGCCGCCGGCCGCGGGCCGGGGCAGGCGGGCGCCGCCGCGGGCCGCGGTGCGGGCGGGCCTGCGGGGCAGGCGGGCAGGCAGGCGGCCGGCGGGCCGGCGGCGCAGGCGGCGCGCACGCCGGCGGCGGGGCAGGCGCGGCGCGCCTCGCAGGGGCGGCAGGGCGGCGGCATGCCTGTGGCCGGGCGCCCGGGCGCGGGCTCGGAGCATGCGGAGCTGGAGCAGAAGGTGGCGGAGCAGAGGAGGACGCTGGCCAGCTGGGAGCAGAGGCGCAACTCCCTGAGGAAGAAGGCGGAGACCGAGGAGCAGCGCACGGCGGCCCTGGAGGCGGAGAAGCAGGAGAACGAGAGCAGGTGGGCTGGCTGGCAGCACAGCTTCGAGGCCGAGACGGAGGAGGAGCAGCGGGCGCTCGAGCTTCAGCTGCTCGAGTGGTGCCCGATGCAGCGCGAGGACGACTCGGCGGCGCTGCAGCGTGCGCTGCTGGACGACGTGGCCCGCGCGCGTGACGCGTTCCGCGGCCAGGCGGACGCGCTGCTGGAGTGCAACAGGCACCTGGTCGAGGGCAACCGGCTGCTGCAGGGCGTCGCGTCGGAGCATTCCGCCGAGCTGGCGGAGCTTCGGGCCAGGGCCGCGCGGCTGCGGCACGAGGAGCCGAAGCGGGATGCGATGTGTGTGGTCCACGGGCTGTACGCCAAGCTGGGCCAGGAGGAGCTGCGCGAGGAGCTGCTCCGGCTCAACGCCGCGCTTGCGGCCCCCGCCGCTGGGCGCCACAGGAGGCTGCAGCGCCTGAGCGAAGAGGCGGCGCAACTGCGGGCGGAGGAGGCGGAGAACGCGCGCCTGCACGAGGCGGTGCTGGACGAGGTCGCCGCCCAGAGGTCGAAGCTGGAGGCCCTGGCGCGGGGTGGCCCGGAGCAGGCGCGGCCCGGGCCGCACGCGGGCGCCGAGAGCTGCGCGGAGCCGGCGTCGAGCGAGGCCAGGCTGGAGGCGGCATTGCGGCACCTGCAGGAGGGGCAGGCGGCGACCGCTGCTGCGCAGGCGGCCGAGAGGGAGGGCAGGCTGCGGGCGGCGCGGGCGGAGGCCGCGCGGGCCCTCCGCGTGGAGCACGAGCTGCTCACGGAGCTGCAGGCGGCGCGGGAGGCCAAGGGCTCGAGCCCGGGGCGCTTCTGGCCGCTCCCGCGGGAGGGCGTCGTGCGCTACGCCGTCCACGACCTGCCCCCCTCGCCGCCGCTGCCGGGGCCCCCGACGCGGGCGACGCAGGACTCCACGCCTCCGCCGCCGAGCCCCCTCGGCGGCAGCGCGCAGGGCTGCGGCGCCCCGTCGCCTCCGGGCGAGCAGGGGAGCGGCGCCGCGGCAGAGGCGCGCCCCGGCGCGGCGCCGCGGCAGCGGTCGCCGGCCTCGGCGGCCGAGGGCCCGCTGCGGCCCGTGCGGAGCGTGGTGTCCAGCCGGCTGGCGCTGGGGGAGCAGCTGCGGCGCTGGCAGGCGGAGCGGCGCAGGCCGAGCGGCTACGGCCTCGCTGCGGCGGGCGAGGCGCAGGGGACGGGCTCTTGATGGGATGCGCGCTCGGAAAAGGGAGGGGGGAGGAGGAGGAGGAGGAGGAGGAGGAGGAGGAGGAGGAGGAGGAGGAGGAGGAGGAGGAGGAGGAGGAGGAGGAGGAGGAGGAGAGGAGGAGGGGGGAGGAGGGGGAAGAGGAGGAGGAGGAGGAGGAGGAGGAGGAGGAGGGAGGAGGAGGAGGAGGAGGGAGGAGGAGGAGGGAGGGGGAGGGGGAGGGGAGGAGGAGGAGGAGGAGGAGGAGGAGGAGGAGGAGGAGGTTGGAGGAGAAGTCAACATCCTCCGAGATAACACCACTGCCATAAAAACAGAACGAGACAACAAGGGCGGAGAAAGGCTTTTGAGATGGCTTCGGCGGAAACCCACTGAATAAAACGGTGCAGTGACGGCCGAGCTGCGCTCTGCGAATGCAGCACTGGCCAGGCCAACACCTGCGCGAGCACGCAGCTCCCATTGGGGTTGGCTCGCACAGCGCAGGCATCATGATCGAGCCAGGTTCCCCCCCGTTCCACCAGTACGACCACGACCCCTCCCCCTCCCCTTCCTCGGTGGCGGCCTCGGCGCGACGTGCGCTAGAGGAACCGCTGGCATCGCCGGATTGGAAAAAGTTTGGATCGTGCCGTTGGATTGGCTCACCGCCCGCCATCTGATTCTTCTTCACCGTGTATGGAATGAAGAGTCGCGCTCCCGCTCGGGACTCCTTTGCAATTTGCTCAGAGTCGCACTCGCGCGCGGGATTCCTCGCGACCAGTGCAGGCGCCGCGGCGGGCGAGGCGCAGTGGGTGGGCTCTTGAAGGGATGCACGCTCGGTAAACGTATGTGGGCGTACGATGGCCATGACCAAGGCGTCACGTGATCTCGTCGACACCGATCGTGGCCACGGTCAATGCCGGCCGTCGCCGATTCGCGAGGAGTATCCACAATTGACAATTACCGAGGCGGGCCATGACCAAGAATGGCACCGACGGGTCCGCGTTTTGTCTCAATCATGGTCATCCTTCGCTTTCCCTCCATGACGCTCCGCGTATCCCCACAATTCCATCCAGGAATGATCACCGGGGGAATTGCCCTGACCAGGGAAGCGCATGAGCATCCAGTGCATGGAGCGGAGTCGACCCGAGCATACACAGGAGTGGAGTGGCTGAGCCTGCCGTCGAAGGAGCAGGAGCGGGAGGAAGAGAAAGTGGAGAAGGTGGAAGGGGAGGAGGTAGGAGGATGGAGAGGGAGGTGGGAGGTGGAGGAGGAGCAAAAGCAGGAGGAGGATGGAGGAGGAAGGAGGCGATGACGACATTATCGAGTACGAGTGGGAGGAGGAGGAGGAGGAGGAGGAGGAGGAGGAGGAGGAGGAGGAGGAGGAGGAGGAGGAGGAGGAGGAGGAAGACGACTGCAGGAGTCGACCATGAAGACCTTCGCGGATTTGTCGCTCTAAGCCGAAGAGCCTCTTGGAGCCATCCAGGGACTGTGCTGGGACCATTTGGGGCATTTTCGGTTCGGGGCCCTCACGGGGCACCTTTGGATCTTGGGGCTCTCTTGTGGCCCTCTTCGGCGCAGTCGGAGCCGTCTTGGGCCTCTTCCTGGCCCCTCTTGGGGCTCTCTGGAGCGTTCTTCGGGCCATCGTGAGGCCTCAGAATTTTCTCGGAAGCGAAAGGGCGAGAAGGTACAATATAGTGATTGCCCCCAGGTTTTAGAACGGTTTGGGCCTCTCGGTGGCGTCCTTTGGGAGGCTCCGTGGGCACTTGGAACCGTCGTGGCGCGGTGTTTGAGGCATCTTTGACGACAAGCAACACTGGGCCATCTTGGGTGCCATCTTGAGCTGTCGGAAGCAATTTTACAGCCATCTTGGCCCAACGCCTGTCAGTGATGTTCCCGAGATGCCACATTAAGTCAGCAACTTGAGAGGGTTCAATTGTTTGGGGTGTGAGTACATGGGGGCGCCGCAGATTCGCCCCGCCCCCCTTGGGCCGCCAGAACACATTCATGTGGGGCCCCCCGTGAGGCGCCCTTTGGCGATCTTGGCGCCGTCGTGGGGCCCTGATTGGCCCTTATTGGTGCTCTCTTGGGCCATCTTGGAGCCATCTTGAGTCCCAAGGCGCCAATCGGCAGCGACAAGGCGCGAAGGCAACACCCACTCATGTTCTGTAATTGTTGCGTCGATCTGGGCTTCTTGGGGGCATCCTTGGGAGGCTGCGTGGCAACTCGGAGCCTTGGGGAGGTCTTGGTGCCTTTTAGAGGCACGTTGGATGCTATCTTGAGCCATCTTGCACTATCCTGTGCAATCTTGGAGACCAGGTTGGGCTATGTAAAACAATGCTGGGCAATCTTGGACGCTCTAATTGGTCGCCCCCCGCCCCGTCCAAACCAAGGGGAAGGGGTGAAGACATCCTTCCCAGGCGCAAACTGTTTGGCTCGCTCCCACCTGCCCTCCCAACCCAGAAGTAGCACCCGAGCCCCAGCATGTCGCCAACGAACGCCACGCATGCCATGTGCGCCACGGGTTCCGAGCGCACTAGGCACCCTAGAGGCCCAAGCGTGCCAGGTGCGCCACGTGCTCCACGTGCGCCAGGGTGCGCAGAGTGTGCCAGGTGCGACATTAAACTGCTGTCATCACTCATCGGATGTACAACTACGGGGAACCAACAGGGACCGCAGGCGCATAGGGGCCCCTACCCCAAGGAGTTCATGATCTTGGACCCCCTGCAGCGAAGTGCCGAGCATTTTGTGAGAAGGGCGGCTCCTCCAGGGAGCGCAAATCACCAGCACGGATGGATGGACAACATGTGACATCTGGAGGACCCGTGGTGCTCATGAAAGCTCAGAGGAAAGAGCGCCCGCCCCCAAATCTAGGGGTATCGCGGGGCTTCCGCACATAATCCATATGTCGTCGCAGAGTGCATGTTGTGTCCTTTTTTGGCAGGCGTGCTTGGTCTGCGCGCAGCAAGCAATTTGCCGGCAAGCCCGCCGTCCTCGTCAAACAAACAAAATGTTCGCGGGGCGCCCGCGCATGCTCCAGATGTAGTGGCAAAGTCAATATTCTACTGGTTGTTGAGAGGTATGCTTGTCTTGCGCGCAGCAAGCAATATGCGGGCACCCTTGCCGCCTTTGGTCAAACACCCATGCAACGTGATCGTGGGGCGCCCGCGCATGCTCCAGATGGTCGTTTTCAAAATGCGCCTCGCACATGTTTGTTAATGTTGTCAAGAGTTTTACGTATGAAGGGCGGGTAGTTTTCAAAATGTGGTTCTCGCTGTAGCGCCACTCAGATTTGTTTGGAAAGTTCGCAAGAGATTCACGGACGGATGGCGGCTCCTTTTCAAACTGTTGTTCTCGCGTTAGCGCCATTTACCTTCGTTTAAACAGCTTGCAAGAGCTTCACGGATGGAAGGCGGTTCTTTTTCAACAAGTTTTTGAGGCTTAGCACCGCGCGCATTCGTCTTGAAAGCTTGCAAGAGTTTCACGGGTGGAGGGCGGGTTCTTTTCAAAATGTGGTTCTTGCTTCAGCGCCGCGCACATTGCAGCAGTTCCACGGGCTCTGGATGCTGAAGTCCCAAGGATAGTATTCCGTCACGATTTAGGAGCGTCAGGGCGCAACAGTCACATGTATTCGTGGTGTCGAAGTCCCAGGAATGAGTTTCTGATGCCGGAACGTCAGGATGCAACATCAACGTTGATTCACAGCGCTGACGTCCCATGAGTTATGTTTTGGCACGATTTGCGATTCTCGGTCGGTTGCTTCCTCCTTCCTCACTGAGTGTTGCTTTTCCTCCTCCTCCTCCTCCTTCTCCATCTCCTCTTCCTCCCCTACTCCTTCCTCCTTCCCTCCCTCCCTCCCTCCCTCCCTCATCCCTCCCTTCCCCCTATGTCATCCCCGCTTCCATCCCCGCTTCCACACGGGCCGTGCGGAGTCTTACCCCCCCGCGCCCGCACTTCAGGTGGCCGGGCAGGCAGTTCAGGGATCCTTCAAGGACCCAATGAAGATCCGGGAGCTAGCCAAGAAGGTGGCAGCCACCACAGAGGGAATGAGAACGCAGTTGGAGCAGAACGAGGAGGAGCAGGAGGCGTAGGATGATGTCATCGGATCTGTTCAAGGGTTCAAGGAGGGATCTCGCGGGTTAGGGGATCCATGTCCGGAAGGAAGAGGAGAAGGACGAGGAGGAGGAGGAGGAGGACGACGACGAGAACGAGGAGCTGGATGTTGAGAACGTGCGCGTCATTCTTTTCTGCTCGCCGCCAAATTCCATCGCGCGACCGGGGACGGCGTAAGGTCGCTCGAATGCCTCCCTCTGACCTGATCGATGGGAGGTGCCCGCTTCAGAAGGGGCCCCAGTTCGTGAAGGACAGGGCGGGGGGCGTTCAGACGAAGGAGAGGGACAGGGGAGGCGGACAAGAAGGAGGACCCTCCCTTCCACTTCTCTTCCTTCCTCTTCTCTCCTCCCTCCTCCATTCTCCTCCTGCTCACGTCTCTCCTCCTCTTCCTCCTCCTCTTCCTTCTCCTCCTCCTGCTCTTTCCCCCTCCTTCCTCAAAGCACCCCTCTTTCCCTCACTCATCCCCGCCTTCGTGTCGCTCATCTCGGCTGCATCTGGATTCGATAAGAGGAGGGGTGGGGAGTGAAAGGTGTGAGGGTCCTCGGTGGGGGGAGGGCGGAGAGAGGAGCACACCCCTCTCCGGAAGCTTCCAGAGACTCCCAGGAGCCTTGCTGAGAGCATGAGAGAATCGTCCGAATCTTCCGAAAAGTGTTCGGAATCCTTCAGACGCCTCCGAAGCTTCGAACACCTCTTCATCCTCTCATCCTCCTCTTCCTCGTCGTCATCATCTTCAGAATCCTCAGCATCACCATCATTACCATCATCGCCATCACCATCCTCCTCCTCCCCCTTATCATCATTATCCTGACCATTCTTATCATAATCGTCAGCATCAGCATCATCATTATCATCATCAGCATCATCATCATCATCATCAACATCACCATTATCATTAGCATAATCGTTATCATCATCATGATCAGCATGATCATCATGATCATGATCATCATAAGCATCATCATCACCACCATCACCATCATCATCATCATCGTCATCATCATTATCATCATCCTTACCAATACCACTACTTGATAATCCCGCAGCATCATTACCATCATCATCAGCATCACCATCCTTATCATTACAGTTACCACGATCAGCATCATCAACATCATCGCCGTCGTTGTTGTCATCATCGCCACCCCTACCACCATCCTCGTCATCATCACCATCATCACCACCATCATCATCATCGCCATCATGATCATCATTACCACCACCACCACCACCATCATCATCATCATCATCATCATCATCATCATCATCATCATCATCATCGTCACCATACCATCATTACCACAATCGTTTTCAGTATCGATATAGTTATGCTTGAGTATCATCATCAGCATCATCATCACCCTCCTCATCATCATCATCATCATCATCATCATCATCATCATCATCATCATCCTCGTCAGCATCATCACCATCATCATCGTCATCACCATCACCACCATCATCATCATCATCATCATCATCATCATCATCATCATCATCATCATCATCATCGTCTTCGTCGCCATCGCCATCGCCATCGCCATCGTCTTCATCATCATCGTCATCGTCATTGTCACCATCGTTGTCGTCATCCCCGAGGGGGAAGGAGAGAGAGGGACCGCGGACAGGGGGGCCGCGGACCGCCTGACGGTTGGCAGGTGAGCCTCATCACCGCAGAGATCGAGCACGTCGACTGCGACGCGCTGGACGCGCTGGTGAAGGAGCAAGCGCCTTCGAGGGCAGGGCTCCCCAGACACGAGGCGTTCCAGAAAAGGGCCGACGACCACAACGCCGACGACCACAGCGCCGACGCCAACCCCGACGACGACGACGACGCCGTCGCCGACGACGACGACGGCGCTGACAACGAAGCCCGATGCCGAGGACGACGACGCCGATGTGCCGCGCTTCAGCACGGTCCTCCCTTCCGGGGATCGGAGGAGTTGCCACCTCGTCCTCGGCGGAAGGCTGGCAGCAGGGCGGCGGAAGTGAAGCGGCGGCGGCTCCGCGGGCGGAAGCGGAGCCGGCGGAAGGCCGTCGGGAGCCGGCGGCCTTCTGCCGGAGTGCCGGCAGGGGCGGGGCGGGTGCACGAAGATGCCCACCCTCCTTGGCTCGCTCTTCGTCGGGCCCGCACGGTGGTCCAGAGCTTCCCACGAGAGCTCCTGAGCCGAATGATCATTTTGGGTAGTGCGCGCCTGGAAGTAAGAGATGTGCCCCCAAGAGGTGAAAGCAGTTGTGGGTTCAGGGGTTCCAGAACCCGCCAAGTGCTCGCGCCGTGAAAGTCATGGCGTGTTTATGGTTGTTGTTGATCGTTTCCGGCCTTTGGGGGCTATCGCGAGGCCCCGGGGCCGTCAAAAGCGACTCGAGAGGAAAAACCGGCCTTGAGGAAGGAGTCGAGACTTCTGGGGCGCCCGCTTTGGAACGAAGAAGGACATCGCATGTCTGGGCTCGGGGCCTGCGTTCTGCTCGCAGCCACCGCTCGGCCGCGCATACGGAGTCGAAGCCGAACCTGGTCGGCCAGGCCAGGATGGACAAGAGCTACGCGCAAGCATCGGTGCGGCGCCGTTGTGAATGATGGCGTGGCCGATCTGGTCCTGTGTCGACTCCGTGCCCATGCTGCCCGATTGGACGCACGAGTCTCTTGGTTCGATGTTGGGCGATCTTGCCTCGCTGTTGGGGGATCTTGCCAGGCCAGGGCCTGCGCTCTGCTCGCGGCCATCGCTCGGCCGCACGTACACTCGGGGCCCTGAAGAAGGAACCCTTTTCGTTGGGGAGGGGCTCCGCGTTCCTTAAGTGTTTCACAGCTTGCCTCAGACTTTCCTTCTGTTTTCGACAGGAAATCGCAGGTTAACTTATGGAAAAAAGGGGCCTCGTTCCTTACTTAGGGTTCCTTGAGCCATCGCTCGGCCGCGCGTAGGAGTGACCCTCCGCCCGAGTGGCATCTGGTGCGCGGCTTTCGGGGGGGCAGGCCCAAGCGCGCAGGTCGCCGCTGCCGTCGCGCCTGGGGCGATCGGCCAGCCGCGTACGTACCGAAGGTCCTTCTCGCTTGGGGCCACTCTCGACTTTTAGCCAGAGTCTGACCCAGTCCGTTTCCGATATTCCGAGGATCCGACGCGGCCGGTGCTCACACGGCGAGGCTGTGCATCCTGCCTTGGTTGATCCGGTTCGGTTTCGATTCTGTGACGATGTTGCCCGATTTGACGCACATTCCGATCCGACCCAGCTTCCCGATTCGATGTTGGCTAATCGAGGGCCACAAGCGAACCCTCCCCCTACCCCCCCCACGATTCCTGAGGGGCAGGGTGGGGTTCACTCCGTTCGGGAGCTCCCGCGCGAAGTGAACCCCACCCTCCCCCTCCCGAGCGTTTCCTTCGGGTGGAGGGCAAAGGGTGAAATCTGAAATGCCGTTTCGATGAATTTTCGAGGCTTGAATCTGCAATAAGTGAATCACACGACGGATTGATTTTCGAGGTGCCAAAGCCCATATGGATTTCACCCGGAGCCCTCCACCCTAAGAAAATGCCCAGCCCTCAGAAATCGCGGGGGTAGGGGTGGGGTTCGCAGGTGGCCCCCTAGCTAACCCTAGGAAGCATTTAAGAACCCCCCCCCCCCTTCCGGCAAATCGATAACCCTTCCGCACCCTGGAAGCGTTACCTGGCACCAGGAGCCCTCCTCCTCCTCCCTCCTCCTCCTCCTCCTCCTCCTCCTCCTCCTCCTCCTCCTCCTCCTCCTCCTCCTCTCCTCCACCCACGAACTTCCTCCTGGCCAGGGCCACTCTGCCCCAGGCCAGGGCTCCAGAGTGACGGAGGCCCAGGCACGCAGGCCGCCACTGCCGCATCGCACGGAAGGGCCGGCAGGCCGCGCACCGCAGGTCGCTTTTTGCCTCGGGCCGCTCTGACGTGGAGCCGAAGCGTCTGCATGGGACAGCGCTTACGGTATCCCTCAGAGGAGAAAAAGGTACCCATACCTCTAGCCTCCCCTCGTTTTCCCTTTTTTGGGCCTGCTGGGAGGTCCTCGTCGCCGCCGCTGGATTCGCCTCGAAATCCTGGTCAGAACGCACCCCGGGAGAGGTCCGGGGAGTAGCGGTATCGGTACCTTTTGGTTTCCCCACTTACAGTATCCCATCAAGGGGGATGCTTTGTCTTCGCATTCCAAGCGCCACGGGCATGTTAGATGCCAGCTCCTCCGCTTCTCCCCCCACACGGAAGAGGCACTTTAGCCATCTTGATGGTCAGGCCTTTTTTGAGACCGCCATGGGTAAAACCAAAAAGTCTGTTTGGTGTTTGCCAGGGTGCATTGCCAGGCTAAGTTTTGACGTACTGGCGCACGTGATTGTTTGAGCTGCGCGCAGTGCCGCACGGGCCATGAGCGCAAGCGGGAAACGCTGCCCCACACATGCGGAATTCCGCCCAGCCTGGATGTTTTCTGTGAACTTGCGGAGGCGGTGGTTTCCATCGTGCCGCTGACGCGTCTGCCCGGCTCCCCTCCTCCTCCTCCTCCTCCTCCTCCTCCTCCTCCTCCTCCTCCTCCTCCTCCCTCCTCCTCCCTCCTCCTCCTCCTCCTCCTCCTCCTCCTCCTCCTCCTCCTCCTCCTCCTCCTCCTCCTCCTCCTCCTCCTCCTCCTCCTCCTCCTCCTCCCTCCCTGGGTCCGTTTCCGTTGGCCGGCCGTCGGGTGCCGGGCCTCCGCTCCCGAGCGCTGCCGAGCCGCTCTGGGGCTCGCCTCCCTGCCGCCGCTCGGGCCGCGCAGGAGGTCCTGAGGCCGTGGCCCCTCCGCTCCACGAGCGGAGCAGCTGGAGCACGGCTCTCCTCTCTTTCCACCGAGGATGTGCTAGTCGCGCCTCCGCCCCCCTCCCTCGGCGTCTGGCGTTTCACGCACACGACGTGGGCGAGTTTGCCCATCTTGTCTGTGTGCTTCCCATCCTCTCTCCACCGAGGATGTGCTGAGCGCCTCCGCCCCCCTCCCTCGGCGTCTGGCGCTTTACGCACATGATGTGGGCGAGTCTGCCCATCTTGTGTGTGTGTGCGTTCCCATCCTCTCTCGATCGAGGATGTGCTAGTCGCGCATCCGCCCCCCTCCCTCGGCGTCTGGCGCTTTACGCACATGATGTGGGCGAGTTTGCCCATCGTGTGTGTGCGTTCCCATCCGAACGTTTCCTGGTCCTTCTGAGGTGGTGCTCCCGCTGCAGCGTGGGCCTCATTTTAGGGTCGGGGCTCTGCTCCCGTCGTTCAGAACGGCGCTCTCGCCCTAGCGCGGGCTGTTCATATGAATCCGAGTCGTTCCTCATCATTGTCGCCCCCCTCCGTTTACTCTCCTCCGCCTTCACCTGGTTCTCCTGTTCCTCCCGCTCCTTCCACTCCAGTTCCTGCTTCTGCTGTTCGTCCTCGTCCTCGTCCTTCCTCCTCCTCCTCCTCTCCCTCCTGCTCCTCCTCCTGCTCATCCGCCACCTCATTCTATGCACGCAGCTCCCCGTTTCCGATTGCGCATATCACGATGGGATCGTATGGGGGAGTTCCAGGTCCGCCATGACACGCCACGCGTCGGCGGACAGAGAGAATGCCAGCGAAACGAAAACGTTGGGTGGGAGGGGTAAGCTGTCACATATGACGTGAACGCACCTGCTCTCCCGCTCCCTCCCTTTTCATCTCCCTCCCTCCCTGCCTCCCTCCCTTTTCCTTCCCCCGCCATCCTCTTCGCCCCCCGCCCTCCCCGCTCCGTCCTCACTCCCTCCCTCTTCCTGCCTCATCATCCCGCTTCTCTTTTTTCCTCGTCCTCCATCCCTCCTGTTCCCCCCCCCCTCTCCCCCTGAGAGGAGGGAACAGGGAGAAGAGAGAGGAGGAGGGAGGAATAGGAGGAGGAGGAGGAGGAGGGAGAGAAGGAGGAGGAGGAGAAGGAGGAGGAGGAGGAGAGGGAGCAGAAGGTGGAGGAGAAGGCGGAGGAGGATGAAAAAGAGTTGGAGGAGGAGCAGGAGTTGGGGTTGGAGTTGGAGTTGGAGTTGGAGTTAGATGAGGGGGAATACGAGGAGGAAAAGGAGGAGGAAGAGGAGGAAGAAGAGGAGGAGGAGGAGAAGTTGGAGGAGGAGTTGGAGTTGGAGTTGGAGTTGGAGTTGGAGTTGGAGTTGGAGGAGGAGGAGGAGGAGGAGGAGGAGAAGTGGGAGGAGTGGGAGTAGTGGGAGGAGTGGGAGGAGGAGGAGGAGGAGGAGGAGGAGGAGGAGGAGGCGCAGAAGGGAAAAGGATGAGGAGGCGGAGGAGGAGGAGGAGGAGGAGGAGGAGGAGGAGGAGGAGGAGTCATCCCTGCTGTTCGCCAGGAGGGCGTCGAGGTGCAGCCCTCCCCCGACACGATCCGCCTGATCCAGGACAAGTTGAACCAGAAGCTGCACTTCGAGGCCGTGGGCTCTTTGGCGTTTGCGGCGGCTCCTCGCCTCCCCGACCCTCTTCGCTGACCTCACCCCTGCGCTTCGTCCCCCCTGGCCCAGAGTTTCGTTGCTCGCTTCGCTATAGGTGTTACGAATCTCGGTGGGGATAACTTGAAAGCATCTCCTGGCTACGGGCTGCTTTTGGGAGGCATTGAGGACCGCCTGGCTATGGATTCCTTACATCCCCGGCGGAGGGGAGGAGGAGGAGGAGGAGGAGGAGGAGGAGGAGGAGGAGGAGGAGGAGGAGGAGGAGGAGGAGGAGGAGGAAGAGGAGGAGGAGGAGGAGGAGGAGGCGAGGGTACCGATGTCGCTGCTTGTCCTGGAGGGACCTCGTCGCCACGGCTGGGCGGGTTACCCGTTTCGAGCTGCCGTTGCCCCGCGAGAAAATACGGATACCGCTCGCATGGCCTCGGGGAGTCCCTCGTCGCCACGGCTGGATTCGCCTCGAACGTCTCGTCAGAAGGTACCCCGCCAGCATGGGGGAAACGGGTCCTTAGGGAGACGGGTCCTGGACCCCGGGGATCCTGAGTCGCTTTCTGACGGTCCCGGGGCCCGTGGGGCCCCGTGAGCCCGAAGATGGCGAAAAACCTTAGAACTTGTTTCCTCAGGACCCGTTTTGCCCCGTGGCGAACCCCGTGGGAGTCTCAGGGATTAGCGATACCAGGGAGTAGCGATATCGGTACCTCGTTGTCATCCCAGCCCCGCACCCCTCTCGTGGTCTGACGAGCGCTGGCCATGCTAGCAGACCGCCCACACGTCATTTTCACGCGTTGGCAAAGCAGGGGGCACAAGAAAGGAGATAATTAAGTGGTTCTCATGCCTGCATCTGCTCCCAGCCTCTGTCCCCCATTCTCTCGCCCTCCCACTTCCAATGCGGGCCCTCATTTCCATCGTGCCATGGCGGACACTGGTGCTAGCCACGCCCCATACCGACCAGACAGAGCACCGGGGAGGAGGAATGATTGCAGCTCTGCTGTGGGTGCGCTGATCATCTAGGAGCATGGCCTTGCGTTTCTCCATGTGCCTCAAGGGAGCTGGCACAGCTTCTAATCCCCTTGCACTTAGCACGAGGCTGCACCCGAAAGGCCTGCTCCACGGTTGCTTCGGGTCTGAACAGGGGCCGGCCTGCGTTTTCAAGCCAGTCACTTGTTGATTTGAGTTCTGCCAGCGTTTAGTGATACACGGCGATGGAACGGGAATAGTTTTGTGTTCGAGAGGGATAGAAACATTTAACCGTTACTATGTATAAATGTGTTCAGGGAGAGGGGTCAGAAAAAGAGAAACAATACCAGAGAGCACCGAGAGAGAGAGAGAGAGAGCGAGAGAGATAACCGCAGAAAGAGACATGTGTGTATGTATACATAGATGTGTCGCCGCGCCGTTTGTTCCGACGAGGCGGCTTTGCGTTTTGGGCAGGGCGCCTCGGCTACTGGGGCAAACGCCGCCTCGGGTACGGTGGGTTTGCTGTGGGTTTACCGCGGTGCCGACTTGGTCTACGTGGGGCGTGGGACGCAGGGTTTGCCGTTGGGTTGTCGTGGTGTCGGCGTCGCCCACGAGGGCGCGTCGAGAACAAACGGCGCGGCGACACGTATACACTTACATGCACACATCTACGTATAGGCGTGCATACGTACATACAAACATACATACATGCATGCATACCTACATACATGCACACACGTATATACATACAGACATGCATACATGTACACACACCTAGATACATACAGACATGCATGCATGCATACATACATACGTGCACCCGTACATACAGACATACATGCATACACGCACACATCCATACACATACATACATACAGCTCACCATGCATGCATGCAGGTATGCATACAGACACACGTACATACGCATATACATGCATACGTACATACATAAGCCTTACATACATACATACATACAGACAATCATACAAACACACGTACGTACATACATACATCCACACATGCATACATACATACACACATACATACATACATACATACATACATACAGACATACATACATACATACAGACACACATACACACATACATACATACATACATCCATACATACATACATACATACATACATACATACATAAATACATACATACATACATACAGACATACACGCATGCATACGTACACACATGCAGAGACACATGCATCCACACAGACATGCATGCATACAAACATACATACATACATGCAGGCCTGCGCAACTATCTACCGACCTACCTACATACATAGACACAAACATACATACATACATGGGCACATGCATGCATACATACACCCATACATGCATACACACATACACACATACACATACACATACATACAGGCATGCATGTACGCATACATACATACACACACGTGCATATACATACATGCATGGCTTCCTGCGTGCAAGCATACACCCACACGTGCCAACATGCATGCATACATGCATGCACACATACATGCATAGCTCTATGCATCCATACATGCAGGTATGTATGATTAGTACATACATGACATAAGTATGTAGGGAAAGAAAGAGAGAGAGAGAGAGAGAGAGAGAGAGACAATCAAGAAACAAGTTGTTGGGAAATCAATGAGTTGGGCCTCTCGAGGTCTCTTGGGAAGGCTATTGGCGCTCTCTTGGGGCGTCTCGGACGCCTCTTGAGCCGTCTTGCGATTATTTTGGGAGTATTGTGCCATCTTTGGGCGCCCTGGGGTCCTTTTGGACCGTCTTGGGGGCCTCTTGGGGCCCTCGTGACCGGTGTTGAGGCCCTCTCGGGCCCGAAAGAGTCACGCGACAAGCCGCGAGGGACCTCAGGGGGCACGCGGCAAGCCCAAGGAGGTTTGTGAATTCGGGGTTCGGGCACTTCAAGAACCCTCAGGATCGAGGATTGAGGCTCAGGGGATGAGGCAATGGACCTGGGGGCACGCAGTGGACCTGGGGGCACGCCCACTCCGTGCCCGGCAGCACGGTGGAGGATGTATAAACAAACGCGTTAAGCTATACATGTATAGAGATACGCGCAATTTAGAGGGAGCTTGCATCTTCCCTGAGCAGTGATTGCACTTAGGGGTTCTTGTTTTTCTCACTACAGTGCCGTTTTAATACTTGCTCCACGTCTGGATCATGTATTAAACATGGATTTGGTGTTAAAAACAACGATGGGTTCATGCATACATTCAGTCATAAACTAATCGTGCATTAAAGATCCGATATTTTTGGGAAATCCCATGTATTAAAAAATGGTCTGTAAGGAGCTGGTTTGGCCTGCCGAGGTTTCGCCGCGCCGCCGCCTCGCGGCCGCCCACCAGGGCGGCCGCCGCACATATCGCGGCACCACGGCCCGTGGCCGCTCTTCGCTGCCGCCCCCGTTCTCCGCCGAGGCCGCGGAGGTCTCTCGCCGTTGTCGCCTTCCCGTGGCCGCCTCGTGGCAGCTCGCTGCCACCCGCTCGGGGGGGGGTCTGCCGCAGCTTCGCCGCGCCGCCGCCGCCGGCGGCCTCGTGGCCCACCTCCGTTCCCGCCCGACCACGGGGGGGCTCCGCCGAGGCTTCGCCGTGCCGCCGCCTCGTGGCCGCTGCGTCGGCGGTCCAGTCGGGGGGGGGGCCGCTCCGAGGCTTCTCCGTGCCGTCGCCCGGGGTCGCCGCGTTGTGCCGCCTCTCTTCGGGGGGCGGCCGTCGAGGTTTCGGCGCGTCGCCGCCTCGTGGCCGCCGCGTCGCCGCCCACTCGTTGGTGGGGTCCGCGGGGGGTTCGCGACGTCGCCGCCTCGTGCCCGCCTCGTGGCCGCCCCCCTGGGGGGGTCCGCGGAGGTTTCGGCGCGTCGCCGCCTCGTGGCCGCCCACTCGGGGGTTCCGCCGAGGTTTCGCCGACAGCCCACAGCTTACACCACATGGGTTGCACTGCATAGCTTGCACCACACCGCTTACACACTCACAAGGCAAGACCTTTCTGCTTGGCATCTACGCTGACGAACATGCATGCTCATGATGAGTGGAATATGGGTATTTGGTCTTTATGTGTATGTAGGGATCGAGAGGGAAAAAGAGAGAGAGAGAGAGAGAGCGACAGAGAGAGCGAGAGAAAGAAAGAGAGAGAGAGAGAGAAAAAGAGAGAGAGAGAGAGCGAGCGAGCGAGGGGGAGAGAAAGTGAGAAAGAGACATGCACACATGCGCACACACACACACACACTTTTGGCGATCGCGGCCCCGTGCGCAGCCATGAGGCGGAGCAACACACACACACACACTCACAGACTCTCTCCAGCACGAGTGATAAGGAGGTTCGGGGGGGAGGAACCACCGTCTCACTCAATCGATCTCATTATCTACCTCACTGTCGATCTTGCTATCGATCTCACTGCCGATCTCACGATCGATCTCTCGATCGATCTCACTATCCCACTATCGATTTCATTATCGATCTCACAATCGCTCTCACTGTCGCTCGGGCTGTCGATCTCACAGTCGATTTCATCATCGATCTCACAATCGATGTCACTATCGATTTCACTATCGATTCTGATATCGGTCGAACTATTGATCTCACTATCGATCTCACTATCGATCTCACTCTCGGTCTTTCTATCGACCTCACTATCGATCCCATTAGAGATCTATCTATCGATCTCTCTATCGATGTCACTACCGATCTCATTATCGGTCTCACTCTCGATCCCACTATGATTTCATTACGGGACACCGACGGGACACTGACGCGACACTGACGGGAAACCGGCAGGACACCCGCGGGACACCTCTGGCAACCGCCGGACAACCCGGGGGGGGGGACGGGCGGTCTTTTGGCTCGGCGGTGCCCTAGCCAGAGAAGGGTTCATTCCTTTCGCCTGCCCACGCAGCTTCGCCTCGCCGGCACGCGCGACACGGACACGAAGCCGAAACTGACTTCTTGGTGAGGGGGGCTCTCCGTTTCAGTACCATCTCAACCCCTCGCCTCCGATACATGCGGAGTCGCGTGGGCGCGCGAGAGGAATGACCCCGCCGTCGCTGGGGCGATTCGGATGCAGTGGGCCGCCCCTCCGCCCCTGGTGGGCGCGCGGTGGCCTGGGGTGTCCCGCCGTGGTGTCCTGTGGTGTCCCATTGATGTCCCGTCGGTGTCCCGTCGGTGTCCCGTCGGCGGTGGGCGGGCGGTGGCCGGGGGTGTCCCGCCTTGGTATCGATAGAGAAGTCTATAGTGAGATCGATAATGAGATCGCTGGAATGGGATTGACAGTAAGGTCAAGAGTGGGATCGACAGTGAAGTTGATTGTGACAGTGGTTGTGAGATCGATACTGAGATCGATAGTGAGATCGATAGAGGAATCGATAGTGAGATCGATCGTGAGATCGAGAATGAAATCGAACACGTGATCTATTCTTAGATTTACATATACGACCACCCTTCGGGTGATAAGGAGGTTCGGGGGGGGGACGAACCAACGTCTCACTCGATCGGTCTCACTATCGATCTCACTATCGATCTCAGTATCGGTCTCGCTCGATCGATCTCCCTCGATCGATCTCACAATCGATCTCACTCGATCTATCTCACAATTGATCTGACTATCGATCTCACAATCGATCTCACAATCGATCTCACAATCGATATCACATTCGGTCTCACTATCGATCTCACTATCGATATCACAACCGTTCTCACAATCAACGTCATCATCATCATCATCATCATCATCATCATCAACAACAACATCAACATCAACATCATCATCACCAACATCATCATAATCGGGACACCGTCCTCATCATCAACACCAACATCATCATCATCATCATCATCATCACGGGCATCAACATCATCGGGACACCACCATCATCATCATCATCAGCACCATCATCACAATCATCATCATCATCATCAGCATCATCATCGGGACACAGTCATCGTCAGCAGCATCATCATCGGGACACCATCATGATCACCATCGTTATCATCATCATCATCATCATCATCATCATCATCATCGGGACACCATCATCATCATCTCATCCTCATCATCGACATCATCATCATTATCAGCATGATCAACATCATCATCAGCATCATCATCATCGTCATCATCGGGACGCCATCAGCATCATCATTACCAACATCAGCATCAACATCATCATCATCATCATCATCATCAGCATCATCACCATCGGGACGCCATCATCATCAACATCATCATCATCACCATCAGAATAATCATCATCGGGACGCCATAATCATCATCAACCTCATCATCATCAACATCATCATCATCATCGGGACACAATCATAATCAGCATCATCAACATCAACATCTTCATACTCATCATCATCGGGACACCATCATCGTCATCATGATGATCATCAACATAATCATCATGATCATCAGCATCCTCATCATCGGGGCACCATCAGCATCATCATCATCATCGTCATCATCATACTCATCATCATCATCATCATCATCGACGTCATTATCATCATCATCATCATCATCATCATCGGGACACCATCATCATCATCATCATCATATCATCATCATCATCGTCCTCATCATCATCAGCAGCATCATCATCATCAGCATCACCATCATCATCATCGTCATCATCATCAGCATCACCAGGATCATCAACATCAACATCACCACCATCATCATCATCAGCATCATCATCATCATCTCTCATATCATCTCATCATCATCATCATCATCATCATCATCATCATCATCATCATCATCATCATCATCATCATCATCATCATCATCATCATCATCATCGCGGGACACCGGCGGGACACCGGCGGGACACCGCGGGCCACCGGCCGCCCGGAAGGGAGTCATTTGGTCCGGCCGCGCCTCAGCCACACGGGACACCAGCGGGACACCCGCGGGACACCGCGGGCCACCGGCCGCCCGGAAGGGAATCATTTGGTCCGGCCGCGCCTCAGCCACAGGAGACTCTCTTCTCGCCCGCCCACGCAGCTTCGCCTCGCACGCACGCACGGCCCGCACGAACACGAAATCGAAACCGATTTCCCGGTAGGGGGGCTCTCCGTTCCACTTCGATCTCACCCCCTCACCTCCGATAGTGAGATCGATCGTGAAATCTATAGTGAGATCGACCGTGGGTAATCGAATATGTGAGGACTATTGTGGGATCGATCGAGTGAGATCGAAAGGGGACGATAGTGACGTTACGTCGCAGCGTAACATCGTCATCACGCTTCGTCGCTAACTCGAGGGTGCGTCACCAGCATCGTCACCATCACACCCAACGCTATCAAGACCGGAAAGGTGGTAACGCGACAACCATACAACAACCAATGGATTTTGACGATTTGGGCCTCTTGGACCGCCCTCCAGGGCCGCCAAGGCGGCCCAAGAGGCGCCCAAGAAGGCTCTAGGACGGTCCCTTTGGCCATCAGAAACCATGTTGGACATGCATGTCCCGACAACGCGGTCTTGGCCTTGAAGAGTCACGTCGGGACCTTCCGAGAGCGCCTGGGAGCGCCTCGAACTTCGGGCTGTGGAGCTCTGAGAGTATATCTCAATAACAATACAGAGAACTCGAAGGGACCTCCTGAGGATACTCCAACTCGTGCCTGAGGATACCCAGGCGGATCTCTTGCTCTCTCTCTCTCTCTCTCTCTCCCTCTCTCTATCTAAATATGTGCATGTATGAGTGTATGTATTTAGTTATATACACCGATGGTTATGCTTATGTTTATGCTTATGTATGTATGAATGTATGTGTGACTGAATTGATGTATGTATGTATGCATGTGTGTGCATGCAGAAGTGATATACACAATGAGACATGTGTGTATGATTGTATATATGGTTGTATGTATGTGTGTCTGTATGCATGTATGTACGTATGTATGTATGTATATGTGTATGTATGTATGTATGTATGCATGTATGTTTGTAAGTAAGTAAGTAAGTAAGTAAGTAAGTAAGTAAGTATGTATGTATGTATGTTTGTATGTATGTATGTATGTGTGTACGTATGTATGTATGTATGTATGTATGTATGTATGTATGTATGTATGTATGTATGTATGTATGTATGTATGTATGTATGTATGTATGAATGTGTGTATGTGTGCGTATGCATGTATGTATGTATGTATGTAGGTAGGTATGTAGGTATGTATGTATGTATGTATGTATGTATGTACGCATTTATGTTTACATATATATATACACATATTTACATATATACACGAGGGAGAGGTTTGTAGTTTGGGGAGCGCTTGAGGCTCACGGGGTGGCGCTGGGGCCCTTCATGGACACGCCCAACGAGGACGCCATGCGTAAGGCCGGCGACAAGTGCTGCCCTCGTCGGGGAGTCTGGCCAGACGCGTGGCAGGGGCGATCTCCTTCCTCATCTTCCCCGTATTCCTCCTTGTCCCCGTCTTCCTCCTCCTCCTCCTCCTCCTCGTCTTCTCGTCCCCTTCTCACCCTTGTTCCTGATCAGCACATACCCGGGTTACCCATTCTGCCATCTGGCTGATCGATACGGGGTCATCTCCGGGCCCTTCCGTCCCACTTGCCAACAGTCAAGCCAACTTCTGCATGCTTCCCTTCAGCATGGGCGTTTTGTCGCCTTCATTGCAAACTGCGCCTCCGGGACGTCGCGGGGCGCATACCCTGAGCGAAAACGGGCGGTGTGTCGCCCTTGCCTCTGTGCCGCGCTCGTCCTTCCTGAGAACTGAGCGCCCGCTCGGGTGCGGCGCTCCTGTTTCGCTCCGCGCCGCCTCGCCAAGTCGTCGGAAGCGGGGCCGCGCGCGAACGCCTTCCGCGCGGTAGGTGGGCACGTGCTTCAGTCCTGATAGCGTGCTCCAGTAGTGGCCAGGGCGACGGCTCGTCCGGGTGGTTCACCCACCAGTGATTCCATAGACCGTGCCCGCCAGTTTATGTGTAGCCTTGTGCGTGAGATATCAGAGATGTGCTGGTGGCAAGTGTGAGCCGCCTTGGCTCCACCCCCTTGCGCGCGCACTTTGCTGGTCATGTGGCGAGATAGGTCGTGCGTGGGAAGATCCATATCAGGATCCAGCACGTCATGAGCCGCAGTTTGTGTCAGGAGTTGCTCAAGCTGTCGCTCCAGCGGCCCACCAGGGGGGCGATCCGGCGCTGCGTATTTAGCATAGGCAGGCCAGCGGCCGCGTTAGATTCCGAGTGTACGGGCAGGCTTTGCGTCCGCTCCGTTGTTTCTCAGTATGTTTTGTTGTTGTTGTTGTTGTTGTTGTTGTTGTTGTTGTTGTTGTTGTTGTTGTTGTTGTTGTTGTTGTTGTTGTTGTTGTTGTTCACGCACGTACCGCCCCAAGAAGGCTTGCGCGGGACTGCGCATGCGCTTCGAGGGAGGGTGGGAATGGATGGGGGCCGCTGACTTGTTCGGTCCTGCTAGCTTGATCGCGCGCTTGCTCTGAATCCTCCCTCCTCCCTCTCCCAACCCAAATTATGCTGTTCCTGCTGTTCCTCCTCCTCCTCCACCTCCTCCTCCACCTCCTCCTCTACCCCTTCCCTGCTTCTCACCCTCTGTTAAAGGATCCACCCTTGGGCATCGCCCGTGCAGGAGTACCTGGTCAAGCCGAGCACTCTTCGTATACGAAACGCTGGCGCACTGCTCGCGACAAGGAAGTTTGATCGTCGATCGCATCCGCTGTCGAATTCAGTAAGGTGACCGAAGAGGGAGGAGGAGGAGGAGAAGGAGGAGGAGGAGGAGGAGAAGGAGGAGGAGGAGGAGGAGGGAAAGGACCAGACTATGGCGCATTCATGAGTTGAAGATGGAGGAGGATGCGAAGAGGAAAGAGGAGGAGGATGGAAACGAAGAGAAGGAGGATGAGGAGGAGGAGAGGAGGACGAGGAGGGCGAGGAGGAGGGCGACGACGACGAGGCCAGGAGGAGGAGGAGGAGTCAGTGGATCGGGCATTCTCATCGCTCAGCCCCAGCAGCGCCAGGCGGCCTGCGACCCCTCCCCAGCAGCGGCCGTCCACTGGCCTGCGTGACCTCGGAATTCCCAGCCCACCCGCCCGCGAGGCCTCGGCTGCAGCACCGCTCCACGACGTGCCGCCGTGCCGCTTGCTCCGACGCGCAGCCTTCCGTCTTGGGGGAGGGGCGCCCCGGCCACCATGGCACACGCCGCCTCGGGCGCGGTGCGTTCGCCGTGGAGGTTGCTGAGGCGCCGGCTTCGTCTGCTCGGGGCGGGCGCCGAAGGGTTCGCCGTGTGTTTGCCGTGGCGGCGGCTTCGTCCACTTGGGCGTGTCGCCCAAGGGAACGAAGCCGACATGTGCTGTCAACCAAGTCTGCATGGTGGGCGCCCTTCCCCGTTCTTCTGTGCACGCCAGCTCCGGCGTCGGCTCCTGCTGCAGGTGCACCGCGAGGCGCCTTCGGACCAGCCCACCCGTGCCGGTGTTCCGCTCACAGTGGGTGCCTCCCCCTCCTCGCCGCAGCGAAGATCTTCTCCGCCTGAGGCCTCCTCCCGCGTTCCCCCCTCCGCGACGGCCCTCGTCTTGCCCACTTGCCCAGGCTGCCCCCGCCCAGCGCGGGGGGTCCGAAATCCGCCACGTGGAGCCAGCAGCGGCCCGTGCTGCCGCTCCGCCGGGGCGCCCTAGGCGCCTCCGCAGGCCGTGCCACGACGGGGGCCGCCGGAGCCCTGCCCTCCCCCCCCGCGCGCGGCGGAAAGCAATGACACATAAGCTGTTCGACGTCCGCGCTGATTAATTGGATCGGCGATGGGCCCTCCTGGTGGCACCTCCGGCGCCGCCCCTGGCGCGCCCCGCGCACCAGGCAGGGGGGACCAGCGCGGATCCAAGATCCGCGCGGACCTCGAGCAGTTTATGTTCATGTAGTTTTGACTCTCTACTCCAATTTTCCAAATCCGTTCCATTCTTTCCCGGCACCCCGCCTGATTCCCGCCCAGAAATCCGTGGCTCCGAAAATATTGGAGCGGCCGGTTTTTGGTTATAATCGGCCTCCAGGGGCCCTCAACGGGCTTCTCAGGACAGTCAAAAGATGATTCATTATGAAAAGCCGGCCCTAGGGAAGTTGTGCAGACCTCTGGGGGTCCACGCATCGACAAACATTGGAGCGCTGGATGTCTGGGCTCCAGTTTTCCAGGTCCCCTCCACTCTTTCCCAGGCCCCCTGCCAGTGTGTCCAGCACGCAGTACGCACTCGTCAGCCGATTTTGGCAACTACGCTGCCCACTTTCCTTCCTGTCCTTCTCCTGCGCTTCCTCTTAAGGCTTCATCCGCATGAAGGCTTACGTGGCGAATCACGGAGCTTTCGGAAGCCGCTCTCACATTTTCCGAGCAGTCCTTTCCTGCTCTGTTCAATGTTTCGTGGCACTTCGACGGACGAATTCTGCAGCGGATTGGTACCACAGCGTACTTCAGACGTGCGGCATTCGCCGTTCGTCTGGGGAACATGTTGCCCCTAGCTCAAGTTTACCGGACCCACCGTCGTCACTCAGAGGCTGCGTAGAGCTGGTGGGGGTGGGGAAATCGCAGCCCTGGCGACCTCACCTCAGCTGTTAGGGGTTCGTTTCGGCCCTTGCCAGTTTTGTCCAGCCCTGGTCGATAATCCTCCGAACTTGTGTTGGCCCAAGCGTGTGTTTACCTCGTCCAGTTCCGCCGACAGCGCGCAGCATGTGTCGGCCCTTTCTGCGCCGCCTGCATCGCACTGAAGGACCTCGGTGGACAACCACACGTTGGTGCTGACACGCGTTCTGAGGATCACTGATCTGGCCACTTCAGCTGTCACGGAATCTCCAATCTCCGATGCTTCAGCTTCCCTGTCGGGGGGTGCCCAGAGGTCGGAGGACTCTGGCTTGGTGCGCGTACGGCTGCGCGTCTGCCTCTATATGTGGGCCCGTGTGGGCGGAGCTCAAAGGGCTGACCCTGTGAGCGCAGCAGATGCACGGGCGCGACACGCGAGAGGGCGGAGGACGGATGCCTGCTAAGGACCTTCGTCCTCCTCCTCCTCCTCCTCCTCCTCCTCCTCTTCCCTATCCTCCTCTTCCCTCTCTCCTCCCTCCTCTGTCCTCCTCCTCCTCCTCCTCCTCCTCCTCCTCCTCCTCCTCCTCCTCCTCCTCCTCCTCCTCCTCCTCTCCTCCGGCACTAGCTGAAGCGCCCAGCAATCAAGCTGTTCTTCCTCCCCTGCAGGGTGCCGACAGGCCGCCCTCGAGGCTGAGGCCGAGGCGCTGAAGATCGTGGGGCTCATGCCTCACTGGTACCTGCGCTCCTCCTCCTGCTGCAGCAGCAGAGCAGGGTCCTCCCCGCGGGGGCCCAACGTCGTGCCACGTCCCAGGCGGGACGGGGGGCGGGGAGTGGTGGAGGAGAAGGGGACGAGGGAGGCGAGTGGAGGGGCCGGGTGGTGGAGCAGGGAGGAGAGGGTAGGGGGGAGCGGGGCAGGTGGAGGAGGGAGGAGGGAAGAGTGGAAGAGGAGGAGGAGGAGGAGGAGGAGGAGGGAGGAGGAGGGAGAAGCCTGCTCCGCCCCCCTTTCTCTTACTCCCTGCTTCGAGCAGGGAGTAAAAGGAGAGGGGGGGTAAAGTAATGCGCTGAGGAGGGCTGCGAGGAAGGGATGGAGAAGTATGGAGGCAATGGGCGGAGCATTGGAGGATCAGGGCGCGTGTCATGAGGGGAGCGTGAAGCGATAGAGGGTGGCCATGATTCTGCATGGGAACTAATCGTTCGGACTCTTGCAACCGAGGTTCGGCTACCCCTACATGCTCAAGGCGGGCCGCCCATGCTTCTTGCTGCCTTCGTCTCCTAAGAGATGGCTCCCATCTCGGACCCAATGCTGGACTTTCTCTTGCAGCTCCCACCGCTGGCTCTCTCTCTCTCTCTCTTTCTTTCTTTCTCTCTCTCTCTCTTTGTTCTCTCTCTCTCTCTCGCCCCCTCTCTCACTGTATTCACCTATGCATGCAAGAGTATGTTGTACAAACACACACACACACAGTCATCAGTCTTACCATAATCCCTCGTCTCGCTCTCTCTCTCTCTCTGTCTCTCTGTTTCTCTCTCTCTCTCCCTTTATGTATGTGTTTCTCTCTCTCCCTCTCCCTCTCTCTTTCTCTCTTTCCCGTTGTGTGCATATATATATATATACATATATAGAGATAGAGAGAGAGAGAGAGAGAGAGAGAGAGACATTCCTCTTCCTATATTTTTATAAGCCCGGGCGGGGGGAAAACCCATCCCCCCCCAAAAAAAACCGGACTCCCAGGACCTGGGGCCTTGGGGCCCTCCGGACGGGCCTCGAAGCGGCCACCGGGCCTCGCAAGGCGTTTTGCCAAGCCTTCCCAGCACACTTGGGGCGATCAGGGGGGTCATCGGAGACGTCCCCAAAACCTACAAGACAGCACAAGAGCGCTCCAAGAGTGACCGACGTGACCTCAAGATGGCCCAAGAGGCCTCCAGGACGGCCCCAAAGAGGCCTCCAAGAGCACTCCCAAGAAGGCCCCCCGAGGCAAAAATCATTGTTTTTTTTTTAGGTTTTTTTGTGAATTTTGGGGTTCTCCTCTTTTCGGCTTCCCGACGCTCCAAGACTGCGGTCTTCTGGGCGTCCGAAGCCGCCTGGGAGGCTCCCAAATCGCCCCACAACCATCCGAAAGGGCTTCCAGGCAGTCCAAGAGAGCCCCAAAACGGCACAACACGGGTCCAAGATGGCCCTCAGAGAGCCCCATGGCGGCCCAAGATGGCCCAAAGACACCCTCCGAAGAATTCCAAATTGTGATTCAGTCGTTCAGGGAGACGGCGGTTGGAGGCAAGGTGGCCCGAGGAAGCCCCAGGAGGCCCCCAGAATACGCCCAGGAGGCCTCCAGAAGGCCTTAAGAACGCCCGAAACAACTTTTGTGAGGCCCATAGAGGCTCTCCAAGGAGGGTCTTCCGCAAAAAAGAGCTGAGGAGGATGTGGAGAATGCGCAGGGTAAGGCGAAAATGAGGAACAATAAGCATGGAGGAAGGATAACGAATAACATCATTATAGCGGCGATGCCGGAAAAGGCAACCAGGAGTTATCGCTAAATTGTCGGCTTGACTTTCCTGCCATTCCGCCTGCAAACCAAAGTTCAAGGACCAAGGTGCATGGCGCGAAGCGCCACTGCAGTCTTGTATATATATATATATCTATATATATATATATGTCTTGACGCTCATTGCGAAGGCCTTACGGCTGATGCCGCCGCCCCTGAAGGACGACGACGACCACGGCAACGACCATGACCACGACCACGACTTCGACCACGACCACTACGGCGACGACGACAACCATTCAACAACTGAAGGAACCTAGTTGCGTTGGCCCTCTTGGGGTTCTCTTGGGAGGGCTCTTGGAGCTCTCTTGGGCCTCTGACGACGAAAACGCATTCAAACACTAAAGAGACATCGTTGATGTTGCCCTCCTGGGGTGCTCTTGGGAGTGCTCTTGGTGCTCTCCTGGGCCTTTTGGGCGCTTCTTGGGCGCCTCTTGGGGCCTCCTGGGGGCCTCCTGGGGCGGAAGGCTCGAAGTGTCCGTTCGTGCCCCCCCTTTCGGGAGCCCCTTGAAGCCCATTTGGGGCCCTCTTCGGCCGGCTTGGGCGCCGTCTTGTGGCTATCCTGGGCCGTCTTGGGGCCGTCTTGGGCAGTTTGAAGGCGCTTTCGAGCTTGCTGGGCCGCCTTTGGGTGATTTGTTGGGGCTTCCTGGGCCGTCTTGGTCGGAAGCCGGGAAAGGCGAGAACGGGAACAACATTAAATAACACATTGGAAATGAACGATTTTCTTGTCATGGGGCCCTCTTGGAGCGTCTCAGGGTTTCCTGAGGCCGTCTTGAGGGCATCTCGGAGCGATCTTGGGCTGTTTCAGGGCCCTTCTGGAGGAAGCCGCGGTACAAATGAGCTGGACGCGTCTACGAAAAGAAATCGAAGGGAAAGCTTTTCTCAGGGAGGGGTGCTCTTCCCCGGGGAGGGGGGGCGCACAACCCCAGGGGCCGCCCCTTGGGACGCCCCCCCCCCCTGGGGCTCCTCGGGACCCCCCCCGGGGGGGAACCCCTAGCGGGGAAGGGATCAAAGGGAAAGAGGGCTCCCCTGCGACTCGATTACGACGTTGCTGGAGTTCCCTCTGGCTGGAACGCTTGAGGAGGAGGACCCACGGCGACGGCGACGACGACTCAAACGAAAAAGCGCCTCACACACGCCGATAGGGTCGGTGAAATGATAGGTCTATGTGTTTACACATGTGTATACTTGTGCGCACATATGCATGCACATATCCATGATCATCTGCATATACAGATATTTACACACAGATATATGTATACACATACATTTATATACACATAGGTGTGCGCGTGTACTTATGAACGCAGCGCTGGCCCGTTCCGGCTGATACATTTCTGGTGGGGATTCCAGGTTCATGCTATCTAATCACACCTCGTCCTCTTCTTCCTCTCCTCTCCTCCCTCCTCCCTCCCGCTTCTTTTCGGCAATATGTGTAGGGGATATCGTTGGCCGTTCGCGCCCTGGGGGTATCCACAATTCATGCAGAGCAAATTAATTGTAGATTTGATGTCCAGGCCATGGTTCATGTTGTGAGTTTGCCTACTGCAGGGCGGCTTGTGCGGTGTTCCCAGTTTGCTTAGCGACCCTTTGATTCGCGATGTGGTGGTATCATCCGTGATGCTTTGCGTGAAAAACACATCTGCACATGCCTTCACACATCTAGATATACGCACTTATGTATATGCATGTGTATATATATACATATTAAAGCGTATACACATATACATGCAGGACGTATACGCACATTCTCGTGTATCCTTATTTCCCGCCCTTCTTGTTGTTGTTCTCTCTTCTTCTTATGATTATCATAATTATTAGTGTTATTCGTCGTCTTCTTCTTCTTCTTCTTCTTCTTCTTTTTCTTCTCTTTTTGTTTTTCTCTCTCTCTCTCTCTCTTCTCCCTCATTGCGCAGGCCTTATTACCAGTGCCGCCAAGCCCGAAGGGGGACGACGACGACGACGACGACGACGACGACGACGACGACGACGACGACGACGGCGGCGTCGCCGACGACGACGACGACGAAGACGACGTCGACGGCGACAGCGACGACGGAACACATTCACCAGCTTCCGGACAATCATGGGGTTCTCTTTGGTTGCTTTTGGCTATCCTTTTGATATTGGGGTTCTCTTGGGGTGCTCTTGGGGCTCTCTTGGACCTCTTGGGGGGTCTCTTCGGGGCTTCGTGGGCACCTCCTGGGACCTCCTGGGAGCCTCTTGTGGCGGAAGGCTCGACATGTCAGTTAGCGCTTTCTTGTTCGGTCTCTCTTGGGGCCCTGTGGGGCTCTCGTCGGCCGTCTGCATTGCCTCTTCGGCCGTTTGGGGGCTGTCCTGAGCCGCTGCCTTGCGCCGTGCTGGGCCGTTTTGGGGCGCTTCCTTCCGGCAGCCTCTTTGGGTCGTATTGTTGCGATGTTGGAGGGCTCCTGGGCCGTCTTGGAGCGTCGGAAGCCGGAGAAGGCGAGGACGCGAAACACATGGACACACGATGTGAAAATCAACGAGCTTCGCCTCTAGGGGGGGCTCTCTTGGGGCTCCTCGTGGAGCTCTCCTGAAGCGTCTTGGAGGCCTCTGAGGCCGTCTCGAGGCTATCCTGGGCAGTCTTGGAGCGATCTGGGGCTGTTTCAGGACACTCTTGGAGGAAGCCGCGGTCCAAGTAAGTTCGATGTGTTCGGAAGGCAAGAAATCGACGGGGAAAGCTTCTCCAAGGGAGGGGTGCTCCCCCCAGGGGGGGGGTCACAACTCCCGAGAGTCCCCCCTCCCCCCCCACCGCGGGGGAGGAATCAAAAGCCACAATAACCAACGACCTCCAATTCAAGGGGTCAACCGACCAGTAAGCCAACTAGCAGGCCAGCCAGCCAGCCATGCGGACACCGAAGTATTTGAAGCAGTCAACGAAGCAACCGAGAGAGCGGGCGAGAGCGACCCGGCTAGCCAGCCGTAAACACACACACACACACACGCACACACACACAGGCATGCAGGCGGGCGGGCGGGTCGGCCGGGCGGGCAGGCGGGCGAACGAGCAAGCACGCACACCACGGGACGGACAGACGTATTGCAGCCAACTGCAGCAGGGCGGAGGACAGGCGGGCAGGCAGGCCATCAGGCAGGCGCAGACGGGCGTTCAGACGTGCGAGCAGAAGAGGATCCCTCTCTCGGCCCCGCACCCTCACTCCTCGGGCCTGGGCGCGTGCGCTGAGAGTCCCTCCGTCGAAATTGCCGGCCCCCCAGCGGGCGCAGTCGAGGCGCCCAGCTGGCGCTGCGTGCTCCCCAGATCTGCGCCCTCCTCGTCCTGAGTGAGTGGGGGGAGGAGAGCCGAGGGCAGCAGGGAGGGAGGGAGGGCCGCCTGTGACGTCGACAGAGACGACACGCAGGCCGCAGTCGGCCCCCGCCCGGACGCCGTCGGGCGCATGGCGGGGTGCGAGCTCGTGCGCAAGTGGCTTACAGCACTCTCGGAGGCTTGCCCGCTCGGGGTCGCCCTGACACTCGACTGCTCCAGCGTCTTCAACAGCATCCCTCGCGGCATGGTGCTGGACAGCATGCGCCGGCGGGCCCCGCGGCTGTTCCAGAGCACCCACAACTGGCTCACGGGAACCACGCGGCATCACTGGTGAGACGACCCTGCAGACGACCCCCCCCCCCGCATTCGGGCTTGCGGCGGCGTGGACCAGGGGTGCCCGCTATCGCCGGCACCTTTCGCAACTTGCATTCCGGACACGCTCGACGATGCTTGCGCGCGCCTCCAGGCTCTCTCGACGTCCTGCAGGGTTTTCAGCCACCTCGACGACATCATGGTAACCGTCCCGCCAGAGCACGCGGGCGCAGCCCTGCAGGCCGTGACGGACACCCTCGCGCGGCACGGCCTTGCAGCCCAAGCGGACCAAAGGCCCAGGCGTGGCCCGCTGGAGGGCGCGGCCGCCTGCCTGCCGCTGTCCCGGAGCGCGGGCTGGACCACCCCACGCGCTTGGGGAAACTGCCCCCCCCCCCCCCCCTCCTGTCTCGAGCAGGAGAGGACGGGGGAGAATCGGAGGGTACCAACTATACACCAACACCGATCTTGGCCAGGCCAATCCTGGGCCCAGGATCGGTGCAGATGCCTTCTTGCCCCAGGCAGGAGGGCGTATACACCGATCCTGGGCCCAGGGTGATCCTGGCCGGGATCGGTGTTGGTGTACAGTTGGTGCCCTCCTAAGGAGGAGGAAGAACGGGCGACAGTCCACGCCGGCCTGGACGGGGGGGCCACAGCCGTGGCCAAGGCAGCGGCCTCTGCCGCCCGCCCGCAGGAGCTGCGACCGGCGGGCCTCCGGGCCGAGAGCGCCTGCACCCTGCTGCGGGCCTTCGCCCACGGGTGCGTCACGCGCCGCCTCCGCGCCAACCTGCAAAAGGGACCCCCCTCCTCCATTTTTTCATCCCGCCTCCCCTCCTCTCTCCTCCTCCCTCCCCCCTCTTCGCGAGATGATGGTGATGATGATGATGATGATGATGATGATGATGATGATGATGATGATGATGATGATGATGATGATGATGATGATGATGATGATGATGATGATGATGATGCTGATGATGATGATGGTGATGATGATGATGATGATGATGATGATGATGATGATGATGATGATGATGATGATGATGATGATGATGATGATGATGATGATGGTGATGATGGTGATGATGGTGATGACGATTATGATGATGATGATGACGACGACGATGACGATGACGATGACGATGACGATGACGATGACGATGCTGATGAGGATGAAGATGATGAGGATGAGGATGAGGATGAGGATGAGGATGAGGATGATGATGAGGATGAAGATGAGGATGAGGATGAGGATGGGGATGGGATGGGGATGGGGATGGATGGGGATGAGGAGGAGGAGGAGGAGGAGGAGGAGGAGGAGGAGGAGGGAGGAGGAGGAGGAGGGAGGAGGAGGAGGAGGAGGAGGAGGAGGAGGAGGAGGAGGAGGAGGAGGAGGAGGCCTTCCCCCGGTCCCCCCTCTCCCCTTTCATCTTCTCCAGCCGCCCCCTCCCCAGCTGCGGCGGGCCGCCCGTTCGCCTCGCCCGCGCGCGGTCCTCCGCCCCCCCCGCCTCCCGGGCTGCCCTCGCGGCGGAGGCCCGGAAGGGCGCCTACGACGGCAAGGGCAACGCCGTGGTGGCGTCCGCGGAGGGCATCCCCGCGGCCCTGGCCAGCCTCGGCGGACAGGCTCGCCGAGGGTGCTCTCGCGGCTCGGCCGGCTCGGCCGCGTCGCGGCCGGCTGCGTCGCGGTGGGTGCGGCGTCGCGTCGGTTCGTCGTGGCGCTGCGGCGTCGCTGCGCCCTGCCGGGCCGCCTTTCGGCCCGGCGGCTTCGGTTTCGCCCCGTCGCTTCGGTCGGTGTTCGGTGTCGTTGTCGCCGTGCGCCTTGCTCGTCACGATCGTCCACGGTGGGGAGCTTTTGGACACGTTCGGTTCGAGCCGTGTCGACCGGCGGCGACCCCGCCGCTAGCGTCGAACGTTGAACGCCGCCAGCGACCCAGTATCAGTCGATGTTGAACGCTTTGACGTTTCGGAAGCGGCCGATCGTGCAAGGCTGAAGGGTCCCCGCGGCGTCAGGAACCAACGCCGAAGTCAGCACGTCACAAGCCTGCCGTAGCGTGTCGCTCCGCGGATTCTGGCCCACCGCGCCTCGGCGTGACCCGCTATCCACTTCCCAGCCCCCAAGCGCCAGCGTCCAGAGCTTTCTCGGGCCTCCTGCCCCGCGGAGCGGAGCGACACGCTATCCGCTTGGCACGGCGTCGCGTGCCGCCAGGGCGACACGCCATGGAAAAGTTCCCGGCAGTGCACGTAAGAGTGGCCCTTCGTCAGAGCGACCTTTGGCGCTGGCCCACTGTCGGGGGCGGCTTAGAGTGCGGCGATGACTAGGGGAGGGGATCAATATCATGGCCAGGGCCGTGGTGCTTCCCAGATTTCATGGCGCCTCTTCTTGTTTTGATGCGCCCTCTGCCCCCCCCTGGGCCACGGCAGGGCCTCGGGCCATGATTTGCGAACCACCTCTTGGACGCCCCCCTCGTCCTCTCCCCTTGGTTCCTCTTCCCTCGTCCTCGCTCCCTCTTCTTCGTGCGACTTTCCGCGCCCGTTGCCCCGACGCTCTCCGCTAGCACGTGGTGGCGCAGCCCTGCCGCGGTGATCCGCCTCGCTCTTGAGTCAGCGTGTCGTCGTCGTCGTCGTCGTCGTCGTCGTCGTCGTCGTCGTGGTCGTCGTCGTCGTCGTCGTCGTCTGCGGTAAAAAAAAATATCAGGAGGGGAAACAACACACAGACACAATTAATCGTCGATTCCCCAGAAAATATGGGAAAATATGGGAAGTGGGGGGGAAGACAAAAACCCAGAAAATATTGGAAAATATGGGGGAATCCTTGTATTTGTGTGTATTTATTTGCGTGTCCCAGGGCCCCTTCAAATTGGACGCCCCCCTCGTGGACGCCCCCGACGCCGGGGTCCCCCGAGCGCTGGGTCCGAGGCGGTGGCAGCGGCCCGCGCGCCTGGCGCGGGGCCCCGGCGCCCCCAGCGCTGCGCACCAGGGGCCACCGCCTGTGCAGGGCCTCGGAGGACCTCCTCCTCCTGGACCCCCCCCTCCTCCTCCTCCTCCTCCTCCTCCTCCTCCTCCTCCTCCTCCTCCTCCTCCTCCTCCTCCTCCTCCTCCTCCTCCTCCCCCTCCTCCTCCTGCCCTGACGCGTCGATTCGCCGCTTGGCCGTTTTCGGTTCGCGAGAGGGCGTCGCGGCCGTCGTTTTTTTTGCGGGTCCGGGTCCGGCGGCTTCGGTCCTGGGCCGTTTTCATTGAAGAATGGTCTACTGAAGGGAGGTTTGTCCACCGCCGAGGGCCACTCTTGCGCGTAGCCGACATGAAGCAAGCGGGCCAACCTTCTTGTCTCCTCTCGGCACTGTGTGTGTGTGTGTGTGTGGTGGGGGATATCGTTGGCCGCCCAGGCCGCGGGGGACATCCATGAAAAATGCATGCAGGACAACTACATATGTCCGATCTGTTGCCCAGACCACGGTTCATAGCTCGGGTTGTGCTGTGCTCCCGGTTTGCCGAGCGACGTTTTGATCCGCGATGTGGTCAGGTTGCAAGGGATGTCTTGCGATGAACAATAAATCAGCTGGTCTTGTCCGAACCATGACCTCAAATCCGCCGTGCTTTGGACGATTCCGCAAGCAGGGCGAAAGTTCCCGCTTCACTTTCCAAGCTCCTCTGACGCCGATTCCGCCCTGCTTTGCCGTCGCTGTTTCCGCAGTTCTTCTGCGTAAATGTCCACCCCATGCTCACCAGCCTGGAACATATCCCTATCCCTATGATTGGCATCGCCTCATCTCGATGCCGATCTTAGGGATCCCCTCCGTGTCTGAGGGCGCATCCCTAAGCTTGTCGTCGATTTGTGGCGTGCTGATCTTAGGGATAGGGATACGCTCGAGGCTGGTTACAGGTTGCCGAGGCGGATAAATGCCGCCCTGCTTCATCGCAGTTCCATCTGGACGCCCGAGATGGGCACGGAAAGAATGGGTACGATGCCCAACAGCAGTTCCTGTTCATTTTGAACCATGTCGCGCTGTCCGCGCCGCCGCGGCCTGTGTCCATTCGAGACAGAGGGCCGCCTGCCCGACAGTGGCCGCTGTTGGTTTGGGACAACATTTGTTGTTGGGCATTGTACCCAGTTTTTCCGTGCCCATTTCGGGAATCCAAATTCCAGTGCCTGCCCGACGCAGCCTTGCCTCGGGGACTCCGCCAGCGCGCGGCGGCGGGAGGGCGGAGGAGGGCTACGAGCTCCCGAGGAGCAAAGCCCGGGGCCGTCACGGAGCGGCTCGGGATGAGGAGTTGGTCCTGGGGAGGGGGCGGGGGAGGGGGAGGAGGAGAAGGAGGAGGAGGAGGAGATGGAGGAGGAGGAGGAGGAGGAGGAGGAGGGTGAGGAGGGGGAGGGGGAGGAGGGCAAGCTAGGTGCGCTCGCGTCATATCTGACATCCTACCCCTCCCTCCCATCCCTTACCATGGCGTAGATCCTCTCTCTACTCGCGCAGTCGGATGTCGAGCAGGGCAATGATCCCGAGAGGGTACGCGATGCATTGTAGAGCACGGCATGGCATGGCGTAGAAGAGCACCGCAAAGCGTAGTATGTCACAGCATGGCGTGGCGTGGCGTAGTGAAGAATTGCATCACAAAGCTTTGCAACGCAAAGCATGGCATCGCACAGCGGCCCCGAACATAACATTGCATAGCATGGCGTTGAAGATCAAAGCGTAGCATGGCATAGCACGACGTGGCACTTAAGCACTGCATATCACAGCTTCAGCTGAAGGCATGGCATCGCGCAGCGGAACGCAACCTAGCATTGCATTGCATGCCGTGGCATGGCACGGGAAATGACGCCAGCGCTGCAGCGGGAGCACGATTCGGAACGAGCGGAAGCGCGGAAATGAGGCCAGCGCTGCAGCGGGAGCACGGTTCGGAACGAGCGGAAGCACGGAAACGAGGCCAGCGCTGCAGCGGGAGCACGATTCGGAACGAGCGGGGCCCGAAAATGAGGCCGGCGCCTCAGCGAGAGCAGCATGTTGGAAAACATGCAAGCGAAAACCCAATTCAGGGGAATCCTGTGTGTACAAAAAAAAGTACGCGGGGGGCGAACACTCCCAACCCGTCATTGGGGGAAGGAGGAGACTAGTATTCATATTGAACAATTGTGGAGGAGGAGGAGGAGGAGGAGGAGGAGGAGGAGGAGGAGGAGGAGGAGGAAGGAGGAGGAGGAGGAGGAGGAGGAGGAGGAGGAGGAGGAGGAGGAGGAGGAGGAGGAGGAGGAGGAGGAGGAGGGAGGGGGAGGAGGAGGAGGAGGAGGGGAGGAGGAGGAGGAGGAGGAGGAGGAGGAGGAGGAGGAGGAGGAGGAGGAGGAGAGGAGGAGGAGGAGGAGGAGGAGGAGGAGGAGGAGGAGGAGGAGGTGGGGGGAGGCCCTGATGTCCAGGACCCGTTGCTCTGAGGACCCGCCCTTGGCATCGCTTGGACGTGCTCGTTTTTGTCGACGCTGGCCACAGGGGAGCACCTTGGATCATCTCGCGGCGAGGAGCGCACGACACCGAACAGGGCACGGGGAATAGGCGCCCGAGCGATGGCAAGCGCCTGCGTCGTTCCAACAGGCGTGCTACGCGGAGAAGTGGTGCCCCTTCGAGAAGGAGGCCTCCGAGGGGGGGGGGCGGGCTCGGTCCATCGGCCGGGCGGGGGGGCGTCGCTGCCTGGCCACCTGCACTTGGCCAGGCCAGCCTCCTTGGCCCCGGGGTCGATGTGTGCAGCCGAGACGCCAAGAGTAAGTCAGAGGAGGGTGCTCCCCGAGGAGGCAGGGGCCTGCCGTGGCCAGAAGGGACCCCCTCCCGCGCCCCTTCTGCAGCGCGCCTGGCTGGCCTCGCCTCTGCCCTCCTCTCCCTCCTCTCCCTCCTCCTCCTCCTCCTCCTCCTCTCCTCCTCCTCCTCCTCCTCCTCCTCTTCCTCCTCCTCCTCCTCCTCCTCCCTCCTCCTCCTCCTCCTCCTCCTCCTCCTCCTCCTCCTCCTCCGCCTCCTCCTCCCCTTGCCAAGGGGGATGAGTCCGGCCGAGATCGGTGCGAGCGGGGGCCTTGCTGCAGGAGTGTGGGGGGCCGCTGGGGCTATGGCGCCCGTCTTGCCCTTTGTTGCCGCTGCGACTGCATGTCCAGCCCCTGCACCTGTTTTGCATCGCCCGCCGCTTCGGCACCGGCTTCCCATCTCGACGAGAGGGAGCCGGCTAAGCTCCGAAGGCATCGGGCGGAGAGATCAGCGATGATAGGCCGTCGCGAAGGATGGCCTCCACTCGGACGGGGGGGCGCTCCCAGAGACACATCCTGATGTTTCCTGGACTTCCCCTGCCTCTGCCGCACCCCATTCTTCTCGTCTCATTCTCCCCTCGACCCCCTCTTTGCCATGTCATCCCGTCCCTCCTCACCTCTCCCTCTCCCCCTTCCCGTCCCTCCCATACCCTCATTTGTCCCTCTTCCTCCCCTCTCATCCCATCTTCTCCCCTCTGCCTTCGAACCCCTCCCTCCTCGATCCTCTCCCTCCCCTCCCCCTCCTTTTCCTTTCCCCGCCCTCCGAGTCCCCTCCCTTCTGCCTCCCCGCCCGTCTCTCTTCGAGCACCTCCCCCTCCTTCCGAACCCCTCCCCCGCCCGTGACCGCCTCGTGGGCGCCCACGGAGCTTGGCACCGCAGTGCTCACTTAAGCCACATAGTTGCACCACGCAGCCAACCCCGCAGAGTGTGCACCGCATGCGCAGTGCAGCATCTCACTGTGTGCGGTCGGCGCTGGCAGGCATCTGTTACGCCATGAGAAGAGCCGCAAACGCATTGCCCTGCCTCCTCCCCCTCCTTCTCATAATCTTGGTGCAGCTCATCCTCCTCTTTGTCTTCCTTCTCCCGGGGTCCCCTTCTCGACGATCGTCTCCCCCCTCCCCCTCCTCCTGCTCCTTCTCGCTTCCCTCGGTGAGAGATGCGGCCTCTTCCTCCGTCTTCCGCCTCCTCCCCTTGCACGCCCTCCTCGTTCTCCTGCCCCCCTCCCCTCGGCTGAAGCAGGGGGAGGAGGAGGAAGAGGAGGAGGAGGAGGAGGAGGAGGAGGAGGAGGGATGAGGCGGAGGAGGAGGAGGAGGAGGAGGAGGAGGAGGAGGAGGAGGAGGAGGGGGGAGCGAGGCGGAGCTGGCAGTGGGGGAGGCCGGAAGCGGAGGGCCCCCCCCCCCTCGAGCCGCGCGGGCGCGCCCCGCCGCGCGCCCCCTTGCGGAGGTGGCCGTCATGGTCGTGAGGAGCAGCAACGGGGACACGCGCTCCTACCCAGTGGTGGGGCCGCTCCTCTCCCCCGGGGGACGGCAGCGGACCGCCTCACCGGTCCCGGCCAGGCCCCTCTGGGGCCCAGCCAGGGTCTGTGGGGAGGGCGGTCGATCGGCGGCGCGGCATTAAGGGGGAAGTGAGAAGGGGCAGGCCTTCTCGGAAGGCGGTGGGACTTCCCTGCTCCTCCTCCTCCTCCTCCTCCTCCTCCTCCTCCTCCTCCTCCTCCTCCTCATCCCCCCCCCGCCCCCCCCCCCATGACCCCCGTCATCGCCGAACATAAAGAAGCGCGCTCTAAAGTTCCTTATCTATGTATATATATATATATATGTGGATAAAACACGTACATGTAAGTACGTATCAATATCGGCATAGTGATATATTTACATATTCAAAGAGAGAGAGAGAGAGAGAGAGACACAACAAAAAACTCCTTTTTCTAGTCTTTCAGCTGTGACCCTGCGAACCCCTCCCCCCTGAACAGGACCCCTTCGGATCCTGGCCCCGTGGGCACCCTGGACGCCCTTGCAGGCGGTCCCCCGTGCTTTCCGGGGTTCCTGAAGCCCCTGCTTGGCCGAGGCAAAGGGCCCAAGTCAGTCAGGAGGGCGGCCGGACGGCCCCGGGAGAGCCCACAGAGCCTCCACACACCCACGAGACGCCCAAAGAAGACCCAAAGAAGACCCCTAAGAGGCACGCGAAACGCCAAAAGCATTGGTGGCCTATGGTCTTGGTATCTGTATGAACGTGGGAATGCTCAGCTCCTCGATCTTTCGGGCGTCCGAGAATCGCCCCACATTTAACCAAGAGGGCTTCCAGGCAGTCCAAAAAGGAGCCCCAACACGGCCCAACAGGGCCCCAAGATGGCCTAAAGAGAGCCCCATGACGGCCCAACATGGCCCCAAGACGTCTCCCGAATCATTTCGAATCGTGACCTGGTCGTTCAGGGAGACCGCGGTTGGAAGCAGGGTGGCCCAGGGAAGCCGCCAGAGGCCCCAGAAGGAACCCAGGAGGCTTCCAGAAGACCCCCACAAGCCTTCAAAAACCTTCGTGAGGCTTACAAGAGGCTCTCCAAGGATGAGCCTCCGCATCAAGAGCTGAGGATGGGGGCGAGTTCGCAGGGTAGGGCGCGAATGACGAAGGGGAAAATGAAAAAAGAGTGAAGGATAGCCAATAACCTTATCTGGAACGGCGATGTCAGAGCAGGCAACAACGAGTTATCGCTACATGTTCCGTTTTACCGTATTGCCCCCTTGCTTGCATGCCAAGCCTCAAGAACCAAAGTGCATGGCGCGAAGCGCTAATGTAGTCTTATGTAGGTGACTACATACTCAGAGGTGTCTATATATGTATATACATATGTGTACATCTCTGTATGCGTATGTCGGTTCAAATGCCATATATGCATATATATGGAACTATAGTTCGATACACATGGATGTATGTACATGCATGCCGAGAAACATGGATCTCATACCTACACGCATACACACAAGCGCACGTGCATGCATACATACATACATACATACATACATGCACACACACATGCATATGTATATACATACATGCATGCATATATGCATGCATATATACATACATAATGACATACATACATGCATGCATACATACAAGCCTACAAACATACATACCATATGTACATGCATGCATATGTACACATACATACGTACACACAGACCGACATACATACACATACATACGTACACACAGACCTGCATCCATGCATAGATGCATGCATCCATACATAGACGCATGCAAGCACCCATACACGCATACACACATGCTGCATGCATGCACATATACATACATACAGACATGCATGCGTACATACATACATGCATACGTACACGCACGTATACAGGCATATATATATATACCGACGTACGTACGTACATACATATATATATATATATATATAATACATAAAAATATACTTGTATAGGCGAGTGAAATGCTGGAGCCTGCAAGGCCTCCTCGGACCCGCCCAGGCCCCCCCTGTACAGCTCGCTACTTGCATTTCTCTACAAAAGTGCAAAAGTCTGGTCTGGCGCTGGTGGTTCAGGCTTTCGGGGGTGGGAGCGGGTTTCCCGCAATCCGGACCCCTCCCGAAGGTGGAAATATGTTGTTTCCAGAGTCGATTGTGGTTGTACTCGAATACAAAATACGAGTAACATTGTGAAGGCGGGGCCCAGGCGGATCCCAGGAGGCCTTGGAGGCCTTCGGGCGAGCGAGTTTTGGTAACTTGCTGGGGCTCCCAGACCTGCCCGGCCCTTGCCTTTCCATTTCTATGTGTGTACTTGCATGAGAATTGCCCAAGTCGAGTCTGGAGAGAGGGGGAGGGTCCTTCGAAAGCTGGGCGAGGGCTGCTAAAACCGTGGCTGCTAAAACGGCCCTCCCGGAAGGAAAAAACAACTTCCCGGAATGAGGCGCGGCACGCGAAACAGTCAACGGGCTTCTTCCCGGAAGGACGAAGACAACTTCCCGGAGGTCGATTTTAGCAGCCACGGATTTAGCAGCCCTTGCCAGGCTTCCGAGTCCTATCTTCGGGAGGGCTCCGGTTTCCCCATCATTTGCAGCCTTCACAGAAATCGAAACCCTAGACATGATCACGTTCGGCCTCTGGGGGCCCTCGCCGGGCCTTGGGACCGTCCTATCTTCGGGAGGGCTCCGGTTTCCCCAGCATTTGCAGCCTTCCCAGAAATCGAAACCCTAGACATGATCACGTTCGGCCTCTGGGGGCCCTCGCCGGGCCTTGGGACCGTCCTATGTTCGGGAGGGCTCTGGTTTCCCCATCATTTGCAGCTTTCCCGGAAATCGAACCCCCAGACATGATCACGGTCGGCCTCTGGGGGCCCTCGCCGGGCCCTGGGACCGTCAACAAGACGATTCGCGATGAAACGTCGGCCCCTGGCACAGGGTCGGGACTTCCGCAGACCCCGTATTGAAAAGATTCGTCGCGTGTCTGGGATGCCCCCCCCCTCAGAATCGATTTCGGGCAGTTTCGAAATGAGAGCGCACATCAACAAATGTAAAAGAAGGGCCTGGGCGGGCGCGGGGAGGCCAGCGGAGACCCTCGGGCGAGCGGATGTTGGGAGATCAGGGCTCGCAGGCAGGAGCTCCGGGCGACACCTGGTGTCGCCGCCCGAAATTTGGTGTCCCAGAATTCCAGGTTCGAATTGTTCAAGCAGTGGCGAAGCGTCCTGGCTCGCCTATAGCCATACCAAACAATGTTCTAAGAACCTTTCGTGGTTTCCACGAAATGTTCTTAGAACATGTTTGGCGGAGGCTGTCTTGTTTTATCACATCGGGTTTATGTTCTAAGAACCTTGTTGTTTGTTCTTAGCGCATGTTTGGGTTCTAAGAACATTTCGATGTAAGTCTACAGGGATGCCAGGACGGTCGGTCTCTGCTCAAATTGTGCAAGACCCACAGACACTCGCTCGGTGCCCATTTTCTAAAATGGTGTGGGGCTCCCAGCATTCGGTGAGGGGCTATTGGGAAAACGGAGCTCCCGGGGAGCTCTGGGCGACACTGGTGTCGCCGCCCGAGGCCCAGCTTCCCAGAAATCCAAGTTCGGATCATGGGAAGCCCAACGACATCTGCCCAGTCCCTATTTTCCATGTGCCTTTAGGATTCCCATCGCTCGGTGGGCGAATTGTGGGAAACGGGAGCTGGCGGAGGCTCTGGGCGACACCAGTGTCGCCCGCGGCTGTCGCCCGCCTGTGGGCTTCCGATTCCGATTGTTCCGAGCCATGGAGAACCAAAAAGGTTCCCAGAATATTGGCAATGCATGCATGTCTTTGGGCTCTCCATACTTCGCGGGGGGGTCGGAGGGGATACGACGGGAGTGGATTCGAGGTGAGCGGGTGGGGAGATGCTTCGTTGGGGGGGTGGGGACGGGGACGGGGGTCGAGGAGGGAGGGAGGCTGGGTCCAGGGAGGGGCCCCGTTTCCCTAGCCCCAGCGGGGGGTATCCTCGTCCTCCTCTTTCTCTTTCTCCTCCTCCTCCTCCTCCGACTGTTCCTCCTCCGTCCTTTCCTCCTCCCTGTCGCACCCCGAGACGGGTCGGTAGGGCGAACCGCGCTTTGCGGTTGGGACTTCCTGGCCGCTAATGATCCTGAAGCTTGAAGTATGCGGCGGTTTCACGGATGACGGGCTGGCAGGCTGGTCGCTTTCAAACTGTGGTTCTCGCCCTTGCGCCGCGCACATTCGCCTGAAAAGCTTGCAAGAGCTTCACGGATGGATGGCGGGTCGTTTTCAAACTGTGGATCTCGCCTCAGCGCTGCGCGCATTCGGTTTACAAGCTGTCAAGAGCTTCTCGGAGAAAGGGCGGCTCCTTTTCTTCAGAGTGCGGCTCTCGCCCCAGCGCCGCGCACACGTCGTCCCAACAAGTTACAGCAGGCTCACGGAAACTCGTGGCTGGCGGACGCCCCAGAATGGTCGTTCCTGGCCCGATTTCGGACTGTCAGGGCGCGGCAGTCACGCCCACTCGCGGTGTTGACTTCCCAGACTTGGTTCTCTGGCACAGCTCCGGGTCGGCAGGCCGCAGCAGCAGCGTTGATGCGCGGCGAGGGAGTCCCAGGGATGGTGTTTAGGCACGGCTGAAGATTCTCAGACGGTGGTCTTCCAACGGAGTTGTTCCCGCTGTGAAGCTACATCTTGCCAGTTCAGGAGCCTATGAAGAGGGAACTTGGAGAACGGGTCTGTTGCAACAGCGTGGATGAGACGAGAGGGAGCCGCCCTCCACGAGAGGGAGCCGCCCTCCACGAGAGGGAGCCGCCCTCCACGAGAGGGAGCCGCCCTCCACGAGAGGGAGCCGGCGTTTTCAACGCAGGCCCTCTCCTCCTCACCTCCCCCACTTGTCCCTTCACGAGAAGGAGCCGGCGTTTTCAACGCAGGCCCTCTCCTCTGCTCATCCACCTCGCCGGGCACAGTGCTTTCGATTTGGGGCTGCTAGCCAGGGCGGGCCCCCGTTAGCAACCCCCTTTAACAGGCTGCGAGTTTGGGTTTCCCCAAGCAGTGGGTGTCCCCCATTGGCAGTTCCTCATTGCGCCTAGCGCCCTCGCGGGACTGTTCAATGGCGGCCCGCTCGCTGACCTGGCAGTTTGGTCAGTGATCCTCCTTCTCCTCCTCCTCCTCCTCCTCCTCCCTCTCCTCCTCCTCCTCCTCCTGCAACTCCGCCTCCTCCTGCAACTCCGCCTCCTCCTGCTCCTGCTCCTGCTCCTCCTCCTCCTCCGCCCTCCCTCCCTGCCCCCCTGCCTCCCTCCCTCCCTCCCGAAAGAAGGGGGGGGAAGGGCGCGGGCGCGGGCGAACGCCCCCCTGGCGCAGGTGGACTTCACCGCGAAAAACAGCATCTGCCACACCACCATCTGCCCTGCTGCGTCCCCGCCGGGCGTACAGGACCTCGCGGGCCAGGGAGGGAGAGGGAGAGGGAGAGAGCGCGACGAGAAGAGCGCGGCCCAGACCGACCGATCGAGACAGCGGCGGAGAGTGAGAGTGAGAGTGAGAGAGAGAGAGAGAGCAAGAGAGAACGAAAGAGACAGACAGACCAGGAGACGCTTTCTCTCTCTCCCTCTCGCACTCTCTCTCTCTCTCTCTCTCTTTGTTTTTCGTGACGTCTCTCTCTCTCTCTCTCGCTCTCTCCCTCTGTCTCTCTTTATGTTCCTCGACCGCCCTGTCGGACCATGTCCTTCGTTTCTTTCTCTTCTCGTTCCTGGTCGCGTTTGCCGTCCCTCTCGATATGTGTATGTATGTATATATGTGTGTGTATGTGTATGTGTATGTGTATGTGTATGTGTATGTGTATGTGTATGTGTATGTGTATGTGTATGTGTATGTGTATGTGTATGTGTATGTGTATGTGTATGTGTATGTGCGTGTAGGTGTATATACGTATGCATGTATGTATGTTTGTATGTATGTATGTATGCATGTATATATATATATATGTGTAGAGGGAGAGGGGGATGGACATATAAGGAGAGCCATATCAGGGAATCCATGCACAAGAGAGACATCGGTCAGTGCCTATCTTGGCTTACGTATTCACATGCAAGAGCAATGCCTTACTAAGCGTCCAGATCGCGTAATGCCAACGCTCTGCGGCCACCTGCTCTTCCTCCTCCTCCTCCTCCTCCTCCTCCTCCTCCTCCTGTTCCACCTCCTGTTCCTCCTCCGTCCCCCTTTTCCCTCTCCTTCCCCCTTCGCCAGATTCCTCTTCGTCGTCAACGTCCGGTTCCATGTCCTCGTCCGCTTCCTCGTTCCCTACGGTCTCCCCTAGCTCATTCTCAGTATCCACTTTCTCCTCCTGCTCCTCCTCTTCTGCTTCCTGCGGCCCACTTGGCGCCCTCCTGGGGCTTGGGGGGGTCCTCTTGAGGACCTTTCGGGGTGGGCGCTTGGGCGTCTCTTGGGGGTCAGTGGGGGCGCGGGGCCGTCCTCGGACTTCCAGGGCGGCGCCTCCTGGCCGTATTTGGGGGGTCCTTTGGGGGGCCCTGCTGGGCCTCCTTGGGGGCTGCCTCGGGCCATCTTTGGGGGGGCCCCGTTCGGGACGTTTGGGGGGTCCTCTCGAGGGGGGCCCTGCTGGGCCTCCTTGGGGGCTGCCTCGGGCCATCTTTGGGGGGGCCCCGTTCGGGACTTCTGGGGGGTCCTCTCGAGGAGGAGGAGGAGGAGGAGGAGGAGGAAGAGGAAGAGATGATGATGATGATGATGATGATGATGATGATGATGATGATGATGATGATGATGATGATGATGATGATGATGATGATGATGATGATGATGATGATGATGATGATGATGATGATGATGATGATGATGATGATGATGATGATGATGATGATGATGATGATGATGATGATGATGATGATGATGTGATGATGATGATGATGATGATGATGATGATGATGATGATGATGATGATGATGGTGATGATGATGTGATGATGATGATGATGATGATGATGGTGATGGTGATGGTGATGATGATGATGATGATGATGATGATGATGATGATGATGATGATGATGATGGATGATGATGATGCTGATGCTGATGCTGATGCTGATGCTGATGCTGATGATGATGATGATGAAGATGATGATGATGATGATGGTGATGATGATGATGATGATGATGATGATGATGATGATGATGATGATGATGATGATGAGATGATGATGATGAGGAGGAGGAGGAGGAGGGAGGAGGAGGAGAGGAGGGAGGAGGAGGAGGGGAGGAGGGGGAGGAGGGAGGAGGAGGAGGAGGGAGGAGGGGCTGCCTTGGGCCATCTTTGGGGGGGCCCCGTTCGGGACTTCTGGGGGGGTCCTCTCGAGGGGGTTCTCTCTGGCGGGGCCCTCGGTCCGTCGTGGGGGCCATGCTGGCAGCATCTCGGGCCGTCCTCGGCTCCCGCGGGGGAAGCTGAAACAGCCGAAGGATTGCAAAACATAAAAACAACAAAAAACAAAATATTGCAAAACAAAAAAAACCCTTTGCAATCGAACGTCTGTTCACAGGCGCACGGGGATCGACGATGGTGGTGTCCAGGAGCCCTCTTCGAGGTCCTCTTCGGGCTCTTCTGTGGCATCTGGGGGCTCCCTGTGGCCGTCGTGGAGGACACCTTTTGGGTCTTGGAGCCCTCGTGGGTTGTGATGTTCCATCTTACTTTAGCCTTGACCACCAGAAAGAATTTCACAAGCGCACGGGAATCGATGATGGTGGTTTCCAGGAGCCCTCTTCGAGGTCCTCTTCGGGCTCTTCTGTGGCATCTGGGGGCTCCCGGTGGCCGCCGTGGAGGACACCTTTTGGGTCTTGGAGCCCTCGTGGGTTATGGTGTTCCAACCTACTTTAGCCTTGACCACCAGAAAGAATTTCGAGCGCCAAAGAAGTACCCCAAAACTCTAGGGTTTTCACGTGTCGGGCCCTGGGAGGCACTGTTTCGACACTCTTTCGACACTTTTCCGGGTGCTCGAAATTATTTCTGGGATGTGGTCCTTAGGTACGATGGGAGCAACATAATTCTTGGGCCGCCCTGGGCTCTCGAGGCTGGCTGCCATCTTCATGTCCTCTTGGGCCCCCCTGACCGTGCAGTGGCGTCACTGTGGGAGTTCGGAACAACCTTCGAGCGGCCAGGAGTTGGAGGAGGAGGAGGAGGAGGAGGAGGAGGAGGAGGAGGGGGAGGGGGAGAAGGAGGAGGAGGAGGAGTAGGAGGAGGAAGAGGAGGAGCAGGAAGCGGTGCGGTGGGCCCAAGGAATGGACCGGAGCGGCAAGCGACGAAACATCACAGACAAGACAAGCAACACCAGACAGCAGTCAAGCAGGCACTTCCACAGCCTCGCGGTATTCGCAGCCCTCTTCGTGCTGCTTGTCCTTATCTTCTGGCCAAACTATTCGGGGACCCGTACGGCTCGCTTTCGATGAAATCCGAGCCCCCTCCCCCTCAAAAACAATTGGAGACAAATGAGTTGCACGGGCCTGTTTCGACCCCCTATATGCAAAAAGCCACCAGAAGCCCGTTCGTGTTCACCACCCGGACAGCTGACGCGCGCTCTGTGTATCCGTAGAGTCTCTTGCGGATGTTCGGGAAGCGCGCCCATAACATATTTCATATTCAAGTTGTTGCACGTTTTTGAACGGTTCTTTGACATCGCACGTGAATGCCCCCAGTGTTTGCATTGTTTGGGTCTGACATGTCTTCCAAAGAGTCGATCCCTGTCGCATGGATGTAGGCAGGCTGGCAAGTTCCTGACGGTGCACAGCCTCACGGTTCCCTCTTTCGTATATTTTGCGTTCTTGCGATCGGGTGGGATAGGGTCCACCCGCTACAGGTCTTCCCCACGGGTCCAGCACGATGTGGTCCCGCCCGAATGGAGTACACACGCGACAGGGCCCCGTACGACAGATTGCACCGCACGAGTTGGAGCTAGTGGGTCGAACAGAGTCACTGTTTGGAGTCTACGCGCCAGGGCCGCTCGAGGCGTTCCCGATCCGAGCCGCGGGATGCTGCCACCCCAGGGTGCCTGCGCGCCGCGGGATCCCACTGGTGGCCGCTGGCAGGACGCTTCCGTTCCCGTGGAGGGGGATGGAAGAGGGGGATTTGTTCCTCCACCTCCTCCTCCTCCTCCTCCTCCTCCTCCTCCTCCTCCTCCTCCTCCTCCTCCTCCTCCTCCTCCTCCTCCTCTCCCCACTGTCCCGCTCCTCGCCGCTGCTTCCCTGCCGCCCGCTGCTCCCCTTCCCCGGTGCCCTCCTCCTCGCCCTGCTGCCTTTCGCTGCCTCTCCGCCCCGTGCTCGCCTTTCCCCTCAGTCCCTGCTTCCGCCCCCACGTGCCGCTCCCTCGCTCCATCCCTTCCCCCGCCCCCCTCGCCCCGATCCCTCCATGCGATCCTTCCTTTCGCGCCCAGCGGCCTGCCCCCTCCTCCTCCTCTCCTCCTCCTCCTCCTCCTCCCTCCTCCTCCTCCTCCTCCTCCTCCTCCTCCTCCTCCTCCTCCTCCTCCTCCTCCTCCTCCCCCTCCTCCCCCCTCCTCCTCCTCCTCCTCCTCCTCCTCATCCTCCCCCCCCCCTCGGCCCCTGCCCTTCCTCCTCCTCCTTATCCTCCTCCTCCTCCTCCTCCTCTCTCCTCCTCCTCCTCCTCCTTCTCCTCCTCCTCCTCCCTCCTCCTCCCTCCTCCTCCTCCTCCTCCTCCTCATTCTCCCCTTCCTCCCTGTCCTCCTCCTCCTCCTCCTCGTCCTCCTCCTCCTCCTTTTCCTCCTCCTGTTCCTCCTCCTCCTCCTCCGCATCCTCCTCCTCCTCCTCGTCCTTCTCCTCCCTCGGCCCCTACCCTGGTTCCATCTCTTGCTCTTGTAAGTAATTCCTCCCCGTCGCGCCCCGAGACATGTCGGTAGGGCGGGCCGGCCGTTTCGCTGGAGACTTCCTCACCATGTATGACACTTAAGCTTGACATGAGTACCAGCTTCACCGATGGAGGGCGGGCCATTTTCAAAGTCGGGCTCTCGCCTTAGCGCCGTGCGCGATCGTTTTACACAGTTGCAGCAGTTTCACGGATTGAGGACGGGCCGTTTTCAAATTGAGATTCTCGCTTTAGCGCCGCGCACACTCGTTCTAAACAAATGCCAGAGCTTCACGGATGGAGGGCGGTCTTCTTTCAAAATGGGGCTCTCACTTTTGTGCCGTGCGCATTCGTCTTACACACTTGCAAGAGCTTCACGGATTGAGGGCGGGTCTTTTTCAAAAATGCGGCCCTAGCCAAAGCGCCGCGTACATTCAACTTAAGAATTTGCTGCAGTGTCAAGGATTACCATGGTTAACGTTCCAGAACAGATTTGTTTGGGAACGGTGTAGGGCTGCCAGGGGGTAACAGTTACGCTGGTACGCGATATTGAACCTCAGGAGTGGTGCTCTGGCGCGATTCAGGATCGTCCAGACGCAACGGTCAGGTTGTTTGTGGCGTTGGAGTCCCAGGAGCGGTGCTCTGGCACGGTTTTGGATTTGTAAACGGTTGTCTTCCAACGAGGCACCGCCCGCAGTGGACATGAATTTTGGAAGGGTCCTATGAAGAAGGAGTTTGGAGGGAGGGTTTATTGCAACATCGTTGATGGGTCTTGGGTTTACATTGGTCCTCCTGCTCCTCCTCCTCCTCCTCCTCCTCCTCCTCCTCCTCCTCCTCCTCCTCCTCCTCCTCATCATTCTCCTCTTCCCCCTCCTCCTCCTTCTCCTCCTCCTCCTCCTCCTCCTCCTCGTTCTCCTCGTTCTCCTCCTCCATCCCTCAGGTCGTACTTCTCCTGCAGCGGATGCCTCCAACAGGAGGCTACCCTGCCAAAAGACGCCCCCGTGGGCACTGACCTGCACTGTCGATGCATGCGCGCTGGAGCAGACCTACGCCGGCTCCGCCTCGTGCCCTCCTCTGGCCAGGTCTGCTCGAGCAGCACGTGACCCCAGCCATCCTGCACCGCTCGCTCACCAGCCCCTCCGAAGGGCGCTGGCCGCTTCGCTCCCCGCCCGCATCGATGGCGGCCACGGTCGCCCCGAGCCCGAGCCCGGGCTCCTCGGCGCCGCGCCGCGTGCACGCGGCCAGCGCGGAGGGCGAGGGCGACGAGCCGGGGAGCCCCGCGCTGGCGAGAGCCTCCGCCGCCCGCGCCCCGGCCCCCGGCGCCTCCGGGCTGCCCCGCAGGCCTCGGCGAGCGCCGCGCCGCGGCTCCCCCCCGCGGAGGCGGCCCACCGGGCCGCTCGGCCTCCGAGGAGGAGCGGTGTGCCGCTGCCGCGGCCCTGCCCGCGTCGCCACGGCCGGGTCCGCCGCGGAGTCCCGGCCAGGAGGCGCCCCGGGAGAGGCCCCGAGATCTTTGGAGTGCGGAGTGAGCATCGGCATGCGCTGAGGTGCGCACGGCCACGTGTGTTCCCACCCGTGCCCCGACCTTCGTGCTCCTCGATCTGGCTCTCTTCGCCTCTGCTTCTGGCAGGGTGTTTCCATCGGGGTGGTGTGCTGCGGTGGTTTGTGCTCAGTTCCCGCGAGTTTTCGGAAGCGTTCAGGGCCTGAGGTGGTTTCCAGTAGCTGCGCCTGGTCGAGGGTGTTCTGGGGGTGCTGGATGACCTCCAATCTTCTAGTGATCGTCGATAAGGGACCGATTGCCCACCCAGCCCAGGGATGTGGGGTTCGGGGGCATATCGCTGATCTCTCGGCTGATGCATCGCCGATTCCAGATCGACGTTCACCCCCCTGAGCCAGTCCCCCTGACGCTCCCTCTGAGAAACCGCGAGGGCGGCGGTGGCGAGAGCACCGCCTTCTGTCCTCGTGGTCCTCTTGGCACGTCCGTTCTCTCTCTCTCTCTGTCTCTCTCTGTCTCTCTCCCTCTCTCTCTCTCTGTATCCCTCTTTTTTTCTGTGGATATCTAAAATATAAAAAATAGATATTATATGTCTATATATATATATGTGTGTGACTAGTCTCTCTCCCTCTCCCTCTCTTTCTCTTGTTGTTTCCGCGTTCACGGTGGGGCTGCCAGAAGTGGCTGCGCGTTTTTCTACCCCTCCGCCGCGGCGCGCGTCGTTCCCTCCCTTGCTTTCCCTCCCCCTCCGGGATGCCTCTGTGCGATCTTGCATTCGATGCGCAGGTGGCCGATCGGGCCGCATTGGATCTCCGCACGGCATTCTGGCCCCTCCCCCTCTTTCCCTCCTCCCGCTCCCCTCCCGCGCTCCTCCCCCGTGAACGTGCGATCACCTGCACGGCAGTTCCTGGTGCAGCGTCTGCGCTGGAGAAGTCGTGGGCATGCGCTGCAGCCGTTTCGGTTGCCAGGCAGACGTTGCATATGTGGATCGTGCGGCCAGCGCGCCCACAGCTTCCCTGTCTCACGCCTTGGGTCCGCCTGCTTCTGCTGCGTCCTTGCGGTGGTGTGGGTCCTCCTTGCTCTGTGATGTGTGTTGGCCACGGGACTCCTTTTGGCAAGGCTTCCGGCCTCCCTGTCATCCCATTATAGATGCTGCGTCTTTGCTGGCACACGGCGACCGCGGGGCCCTGAGGGCATGCCGACGCCCAGCGCCGGCAGTCTCACCGAGCTGCCGGGCGCCATCTTACCCCTGTGCGTCCATCCTCCCTCTCTGCGTCATCGCCCTCCTCCGTCGCCCTCTCCCCTGCGAGGCGGGAATCGGTCCCTGCCCATAGTTAGCCACCGCCTGGGGGATCGACCTTCGGCGACCTCGGCCTGCTGTGAAGGTGAATGCGTTGATATACTGGGGCCCTTGGGGGGGGGCGGGCAGCTGTATCCACATCCACCGCCTGTGGAGGCCCCGTAAGATCGATCCCTCAGGCCGTAGTTATTCGTGCATGACTCCCCGCCTCACAGAGAGGAGAGCGACGGAGGAGTGCGACGACGCAAGAAGGGCGGAGGGACGGAGGGGGAGAAAGGTGGCGCCAAGCCTCTCAAATGCGAGACCGCCAGCGTTGGGCATCTGCATGCCCTCGGGCCATCTCGGCCCCCTGAGATCCGAAGTTGCGACAAAAACGACGATATCGCGAAAACAAGCTCGACCAGAGGCCGCGGCAGTTCCCGAGCCGAATCGATCCGTGATGGCCTCAGGGCCTCAAGTCTGGCGTGAAACGCCTGGGGTCTCGGGGTCGCCGTGTACACCATTCTGGACGCCCAAAGTGTGCACGGAAGACATGGGCAGGATGCCCAGCAACAGGTCTTCTCCAACATCGACACCGGCCGCTGTTGCGCAGGCGGCCGTCTGTCTCGAATGAACCACGTCCCCGGCGACACCGACAGCGAATCCTGTCATGAGCAGGACATGCTGTCGGTCTTGTGCCAATCCCTTTGCGCACCCACCCCGATCGTACTGGACAGAACTGCCCTCGGCCATTCCGCCCCCGCCGGGGCCGCGCTGCCGCGGGGCGCCCCGCCTTCGGGGCGCCGGGGCGCACACAACGACGACGAGGACGAGGACGACGACGACGACGACGAGGACGAGGACGACGACGACGAGGACGAGGACGAGGACGAGGACGAGGAGGAGGAGGAGGAGGACGACGACGACGACGACGACGACGACGACGACGACGACGACGACGACGACGACGACGACGGCGACGACGACGACGACGACCCCTCTGCGCGGGCGGCGATTTTGGGGGCGGGTGGCCGCTGGTACCCCGGGCGCCCCCGCCGCCCCAGCGTCCGCGGCGGCAGCTTTTTTGCTCTGCTTTTGGCCTCCGGGGCCCCCTCCGCATGGGGGCCTCTCGGCGGAGGCCACCGGCTGCTGGCAGCGGTGGCGGCGGACCGCATGGTGCCACCAGAGTGTCCGCACGTCGCCGTCTTTGGCGCCAGAAGCTCTTCTTGCTGACTTCGCGTCCTGACCCGGGCGCGAGGTCCCCAGCGCAGAGACCGGTTTGCATCCGTTGCTGCCCAGGGGAGGAGGGGGGAGGAGGAGGAGGAGGAGGAGGAGGAGGAGGAGGAGAGAGGAGGAGGAGGAGGAGGAGGAGGAGGAGGAGGAGGAGGAGGAGGAGGGAGAGGAGGAGGAGGAGGAGGAGGGTGGAGGAGAGGAGAGGAGGAGGAGGAGGAGGAGGAGGGAGGAGGAGGAGGAGGGAGGAGGAGGAAGGAGGAGGAGGAGGAGGAGGGAGGAGGAGGGGGGAGGAGAGGAGGAGGATGAGGAGGAGGAGGAGGAGAGGAGGAGGATGAGGAGGAGGGAAGGAGGAGGAGGGGGAGGGGAGGGGGGAGGGGACGAGGGGAGGAGGGGAGGGAGGGGAGGGTGGAGGAGGAGGAGGAGCAGGAGGAGGAGGAGGAGGAGGAGGAGGAGGAGGAGGAGGAGGAGGAGGAGGAGGAGGAGGAGGAGGGGGAGGAGGAGGAGGAGAGGAGGAGGAGGAGGAGGAGGAGGAGGAGGAGGAGGGGGAGGGGGACGAGGGGAGGGGAGGAGGGAGGAGGGGGAGGGGAGGACGAGAAGGGGGGGAGGACGATGGGAACGGAGGGGGGAAGAAGGAGGGGGAGGGTAAGGAGGGGAGGGGGAGGGGGAGGGGGAGGACCAGGAGGAGAGGAGGAGGGGGGAGGACTTTAAACGGAGAGGGTTAAAGGCGAGATGTATATCGAGCATGCACCGCTGCCGTGCCTGGCTCAAGCCGGGCCCGGCCTAATATGTGATTGTGCCTCACCGAGGCGCACTACTTGTATCTGAGATCGGAAAATACCTTTTCCATTGACGATGCCCCTTCTATCCTTTACTCCAGATCCCATGCTTCGTCTTGCTCTCTTGCTAATGCGATATGAGCCAAAGCCTGGGATATGGGAACGCCTAAGGCGGAACATATATCATGGCTTACCAGTGCGTTTTCGACTTGGTAGCGGAGCTGGCTACACTCTCGTGTGGCTGGCTCTCGCTCTGATTCCTGTAATCCACGGCACAACTTGGTGGACTACTACTACGGTGGAATACCATGTTGCGCCGGCTCTGCGAGGAGCGGAGCCAGTCCGCGATCGAGCTAGCGGGGCAACCCGCGAACTCGAGACGCTCTCTCCTACTTCACTGCGCTACTTCACTCCCGACTTCCACCAGATGCCAATCGGCAACTCGATCGAGAACGTGGTCACCCTGCGGGGCTACCCGCAGCGGGGCCACCTGCATCCCGTGCCGGTCAGGCGCCTCACGGCTACTACGCCAGAGCCTGACAAACCACAGCCTAAACCAATCACCGAAGCCGAGATGCACATGCACTGGATTAAGATAACTATCTTCGGCATTCTATGGGTGATAATGGGATGTGCTGTGGGATACATGCGGCAGGGGATGGACGACACGCGTACTACCGGCCCTTCGTGGGACCCAGCCGGTACTACGCCTTTTCGCGAATACGTTCGCGAAGTACATGCATGGATAAACGTAACGAGCGGCAATATGACGCCACCTCAGCAAGCTGCAGCACTACAACGTGGCCTTCAAGGCCTTGCTCGTCGTATCGCCATGCAGGTCCCCTCCCAGATCATCAACTATGGTGTAACTGTCAACGGACAGCCAACGGATGCAGTTACTTATATACTGTACCTATTGAGCACCAAATTTGAAAATCTGGAAGATGAGCGCCAGCTCAACTCTGGCACTGCCCTTATCGACTTTCGCGTCGAAAGGGGCGAGCGAATCGACTCAGTGTTAGCTCGATTCGAGATGGCCCGTGACGAGGCTAACTCTGTTGGCTTTGTCATCCCCAACTTTCAGATCCTAACGCTGATCCTTTTCAGAGCGTTAGGCGTTGGCGCGTCACGAGCCCAACACCTGCTGGAGCCCTTTAATCATCAGATGCCCAGAACACAAGCAGACTATGATAGGCTGCTGACCAGGATGAGGAACTACGGGCATGTTGCCGAGCGCTCTCCTGGCAATATTGCGGGTATCTTCACAGGGCACCACTCACATGCAGGTGTCTACGCCACGACTGCGGGGTCACCCGCTGGTCCTGGCGAGCCAAGTCCCTGGGCTGATCCAGCCGATATGCCTAACGAGGCCACTGCCTTCTTAGGGCAGACCGGCCAGGCATCGGCAGAGGCAGCTGAGGCGAACGCCTGGTCGAACTACACGCCGGGCGCCGCCTACACTGCGAGCCCGCCCTCGGGCACAACCCTCTGGGGCCAAGCGGAGTCATCCGCTCAAGGGTCTCAGCCACCCTCTCCGTTTGAATCTGGCACTGACACAGATACCTCATCTGACGATGAGCACAATGGCATAGTCTCTGCTGGTAATGACTATCCAGCTGATGACACTCACCTTTCTGATCAACGAAGAGCGGAAGCCGCTTTTATGGCTTATCGCAAATCCAAACGCCGTTGGAGGCGCTTCATGAAGAAACCAGTCAGAAAAGTGAGACGTGCAGCACGCCGACATTTCAAACGACATGGAA